AGAGATGGTTCCAAGCGAGGGGAGCGGGCAGGTGAAAGAGAGAAATAAAAACTGGAGATCCTGTTTTCGTTGCGCGATTATTATGGTCTTGCTGGAGCCTCCAGATGTATTTTGTATTTTTCTTTTTTGCTCGGCAGTTGCGGTAAATTCCTTTTATCAGGGTTGGTTGTTTCTCTGCTATCGTTTATTCGTAACGTTGCTATGCTTGATGTTTATGTCAATCTTGCTGGATATAGTCATAGGCCATTGTCCAATGCGAACGAAAAAACCCATCCTAAGTAGAGTATATGCTTCCTTACCTGGCAAATAGACTCTACCGGGTCACAGTACTCCCCTCCCATTGACCAAACGCCTTGGATATCGTAGCGATCTCTCTCTCTCTCTCTCTCTCTCTCTCTCTCTCTCTCTCTCTCCAGGTTCTTTTGCAAATCTCAAGCAGAGAGCTGCATGCACGTAGCCTTACAATCCAGCCCCCTTGCTTCGTGGCTTGACGGGGGTCTTGACAAACCGCATCAAGACCGTTGCAAAGAAAACAAAAGTTGGACATCTCATTAAAGTTAAGGTGTGCTGTAGTCTGTAGCCTGTAGATCGCTAGCTTTCGCGGAGGTTCTGACTCATGTTGGAAACGCAAATCAGGACCAAGGCAATTGTACATACTACAGTGCATGCATTGTATGTCTGGAAAGGGTTGCAGTAGCCGTGCAGGGGATTGTATCATCGTGCAGGGTGTATCGCGTGTGGATGTTCTTCTTTCTGATATCGGTCTGAGAGGCTCTGTTGAGCTTGGTCGGGTAGAGGGTGAGTGGAGGATTCGCCGTTTACTCTTCGGCCCATTCTAGTCAAGTATAGTCTGATACCGTTTGTCTAGTCGCGTACGTATTCAATGAGATACATGCTATCATTCTTATCAGTAAGCGTGTCTCCATGGTAAGAGAACTCCATTACATCCTGACTGCCCTACTTTGACCTATAGAGGCAGTTCTTTGTCCAGCGTGCTGGGTGCGCTCTACTTTTTATCCCTTCGTTCCTTCTTCTCCCACTTTCTTCGTTTCTTATGAAAGGGCAATAGGGGTGTTTCTTCTGCTCAGCTCAGAGAAGTGGATGATTTGCTCCTAGCAGGTTTCATATAAGGACTACTACACCCACAAGTAACACAGAAGAAGACGATCCCTGGTTGGAGATCTCTCCAGCCTAGTTCCTAGATGTTGTTTCATCCCTGTGGCACTTCGTAGTACATATTTACAAATACATATACCAGTTTTGATTCCTAAGCTATACCAAGCCCATCGAACAACATTCAACGAGATAACAATGTAGACAGGCAGACAACCATGAAGAGCAAGATTATTTTTGGTCTCTGATATAAGCGAGGGCCAACTCACGCCCTCTGTCTTAGTAGCCGTATGTACTATGCTATAGTAGCTAGGTAGGTGATAAGATCATGTAAAGGTCAAGTCAATTAACAAAACTATAAGTTGTGTATACCAGTGTAAGCGTAAGTTGAACACGGTCTGCTACTTAGTCCTTGGGTAAAGTTGGAAAGGAATCCTAGCAGATGATATACCTTGCTACCACTGAAAAGTATGGATCGGATTCCTAAAGTAAATAATTCTTGATGGCCGTTCAGTGTTGATGCGGGTCTGTCATCAGCACAGTACTTGCTATGTCGACGGCAATTTATATTAAGCGGAACCCCCCCACGAACATCTGAAGGGCAAGACGTGCGGTTTTGCGAATGAAAAGAGATCAGATACCCCCTTTCTTATGAAGCTCTGCATCTTAGCAATCAGAGGCAGACATTTCATATTTGAGAAATGCACACTGCATAAGAGCGTGCATCCTTAGCGAAGGTTACGCGACTAAGTTACCTGGGATGCAAAATGCTTATGCCTGAGGCATACACCCAAGGCTCTAATTGGGAAACACCTGTACAGTATAGAAAAGACAAACTTAACACATGCACTCAAACCGAAGATATTAGCAGTATGTAATATTCGAGAACCCGACTAAGCGAGATAACAGCCATGCGCCTATCCTATGCATCCAGTAAAAAAACCCACGCCATCCATGCTAGTATGTACAAATAATCAAACAATCACACACTAAATTCTCTCCCCGCCATGACCCTCACGAGCGTGAGCGGATCCGTCTGGCAACCGGCGTCGATCCCGCATTGATCTTGAGCAGACTCGTCTTCGTGCTACTGCTGCGGAGTGATGTCTTGCTGCTGCTGCTTGTCATGCTGGCAGTGGCACTGCTCCCCCTGGACGGGGTCTCGAGTGTCTTTCTGGGGGATTTGGGAATCAACTTCTTGCGTTGACCGAGGGGACTATCGTTGCCGGAAGATGCAGACGACGAGGTGGGAGAAGAGGTGGGAGCAGCAACAGCCGTGGTTTCGGCCCCGGACGCTCCGCGCACGCGCCGCGCCCGCGGCGTTGCAGTAGCGGGTGCAGTAGTCGCTGCGTCGGGGACCGTCTCACCACCAGTCTTCTGCCCCGTCTGCGACCGAGTCGTACGGCCACTGGCCGCCTTTCTTTTCACATCGGAGGGTTTGTCCGTGCTGCGCTGATGTGTTACCCCACGGCCCACACCAGCGACGTCATGTTTGTGACCGGTCGCATTGGCGTCTTCACCTTCAAACTCCACGAGTCGGTTGTTGTTCCAAGACACATGCTTCTTGGCCTTTGCACTTTCTCGGGCCACCGGAGCAGGACTGGCTTTGTCGTCACCGATCGGGGTGGTGTAGCTTTTGTGAATATGAAGAACATGAAGTGTTTGCTTCGGCATGGTGGAGCTGCCCTTATTAAACCGCGTGTTGCGTTTCGTGGCCAGAGCGAGCTCTTGGGCCTCGGTCCGCTGGAGGAACACAAATTCGTTGCCCTTGGCACGGCGGAGAGCGAAGGTGCTGCGCACTGCAGCCGCCACGGTGGAGGGCCGTACTGGAGGGGCACGCGAGCGAGTGCTACGACGCGGACTTCCGGCCTCCTGGTTCTCGTTCTCGAGCGACTTGGTCGGAGATACTTGCTGCGGTTTTTGCGGCGAGGGCGAGTTGGCGTCGAGGTCCTCCAACGCGCGCCGCGACGGCGGGGTCGGCATCTCAACCGGTGACGCTTCCTGCATCTTCTTGGCTTCATCCTCCTTTTCGACCAGCGGGGCCTTCTTTGCGACCATCTCTGCGGCCTGAGTAGCTTCGCTCTCAGCAGCAGCCTCGGTTTCAGCGGCGGCAGCAGCAGCAGCCTTGGCGTCACGCTTCGCCTGGGCCTTGGAGAGGAAGTTACTCAGTAGCTCGGCGTCTTCTCCGCCCAACGAGCTGCGCAAAGCCGACCGTACAATAGTCGATTCCTGCTCGACGGTGATATCAGGAACGATAGCAGGGGTCTCCGGATTCGAATCCAGCTTTGTCGCGCTCAGCAGAACCTCCTTGATCGTGGCCGCCGCATCACCATCATCACTGTCCTCCGCAGTATTTGTAGTAGGCGAATCAGTATGTGACCCTCCGACAACCGGACTAAACACAGTAAATGGCGAAGCATGACTGATCTCGTGTTCTTTTATGTTTGTCATGTCCCCGTCTAAACCGGGGGACGAACCGTCCGAATCGCCAGGTAGCGTGCGGGGGTAGGGCGCACCGGGCACCAATTTCGTAGGGGTCTCCGGGAGGTCAGCCGTCGCTAATTCGTCCGGCTCGCTGATAACAAGGTTCTCGTGCATCGACGTGGACGAGTCTCGCTCGTCGCCGGTACTCTCAATATTGTCATGTGGCTGAAGAAGACTGTCCGTCGCCATCGGTTCATCGGGAAGGTCCACAAACTCGCTGTAAACAAGTGGCAGCTTGCCTGATCATCGTTAATTCTTACGTGAAACATGACGTCTTCCACTCGCCAAGAGGGCAAAGTATATATAGCCCCCAAGCCCAAGGAAGAACAAAAAAAGAAGGTAACTCACGTCGTCGCCCTTTTGAATCAGACTCCCACTGTGTTTCCAAGAATGACCTGCCTCGTGAGTTTCCGCTGGCAAGGTCATCCGGGTCCAGCGCGAAGCATCTCCGCTTGACTCCGCGGACGAGGCCCGGATTTCTCGTGCTGTTGATCTCGAGCTGGAGCTCCTCGTCGATCGCGTGCCGCTCGCCCGCGGTGATCTGCTGCAGCGCTTTCATGCTGTTGAACGAGGAGCGGAAGCGCTTCCAGACTTTGCGCGACCGGCCGCGTGCGCGAAACGACGTGGATGGCTTGCGGTCCCAAACGTGCGGAGCTGATCGGGTGAGGGTTTTCGTCGGGGTGAATCCGAACTTGGTGTTCTGAGGAAGCTTAAGATGTGGGGGGCTATTCAAGGTCACATGTTAGACATCTGGTGGCGATGGGGTTCAACACAAGTGATGATGAGGTCCAAGGTAGAAGAAAGGAGGAGATGCAAGAAAGGGGCCAGGCCGGAGTGAGTGAGCCAGTGCTGGCCTGTCTTGGATCGACATTGCAACTCTCCAAGGGGCTGCTGATTTTGACACGGAGAAGATAAGAGTTCTCCACGTACCATAATGGTTGGAATGTGACGGACGGACAGATAAAGTCCTCCATCGTGATGGTCGGGACCGAGTTGGAATGTGCGGCGTGTTTTGACGTCAAGGCGCGGGTAGAAGGAGCGATACGCCGATGGATAACGGGGTAGAAGATATACCACTATGATGTCGATTAAAATGAGGCGTCCAAGTCGCGTCTGTTGTCGGGATGCGATAGCAATAAATAAATGGCGCGATAGTCTAAGAGCAGAGTTTCAGAGCAGAGCTGGGCTGGCGATGGAAATGGATAAGTTATTGGTTAGACCGGGCAGGGCGAGCCACCGGGCTGTTTTGGCGGTGATTGCGTTGCTGGGCCAACCACACCCCAGCTCATTCACTGGCTGCTCCCATAAAGCACTTCAACCTAGACTCTACAAACGCCGAGGTACTTTGTTCCTAGCCTAGCCCAGCACCTGTGTACAACTCTGAAGCCACAATATCGAGGTGAAGAATCCCGAATGCTATTCCATGATTGGCTAAATGCAAATCAAGCTCGTAAACGTAATCATCGCGGTTGCCCTCAAAAATTCCGCCCCCGCTCAGAACAAGAAGATCACCCAACACCCAGAACTCCAGTCTCCACGCTGTTCATTGGCTTCAATGCAAGACAACTTCGCAGATAGACCATCTCCTTCGTCTAAGCTCCTTCCTCCATATCTCTCTCATCAAACGGATCACCGAATTCCTCTGCGAACGCTATGCATCAGTACCACGTTCGAAACTGCAGACCCCATGGATCCCGAAGACAGGTCGGTCAGATGTATAGTAACGTACCCAAGCTAAAGTCTTGATCGATGACGAATTCCATTGCTCGTTGGTATTCCTCCTCCGCCCGCTTGTTCATCCACGACGCCACCGGGGCGGACTGCTGGGCGCCCTGGGGGAGAAGACCCTGGGCTGCCAACGGCGAGGCAATCGGTCCCCCGGGACCGTGAGACTTTCCGGAGCCCTCGAAGGCGCTGCTCTGAGTCTGCGAGCCGGGCGGGGACAGTTCGGAGCCGTCGAAATGAGGAATGTGGGTTGGGAGCTTGTTAGTCGGGGTGCGGGTGCCGGGGTTGGAGTCATCGGAGGCCATCGGGGAGGATTCTGGCGAAGAGGCCATCTGCGAATCGCCGTCTCGGTCTGCAGAGACAGTCAGCATGGAGCAGCGGAAGTTTGCTGGGTTGAATCTGGAAATGCTCGAGGTGGGAAGCGGGGCCAAGCCAGCAGCCGCTGGAGATGGGAACTGACCGAGGTTCATGGTGAGGGCTGTGGTGTGGCTGGCGGGCAGTTCGAATCGTAGTCTGCTGTACGCTCGGTAGAGATTCGAGAAAGCAAGGGAGTTTCTAAAAAGAACGCGAGTGGAGGGTGGTTGTCGGAGGTCGTCTCCGTAGTATGAGTATTAATGGTGGAGGACGATAGGTGCGGGTTCCAGGGACGGTTGGAGGATCTTAGTTAAGCAACCCTTCCTTTTCCACCTCAGCATTGCTGTTCTCCTCTCCCTCTTTGAGTCTGATCCTCTTTCCCCTCTTTCTAAACCAACACTACCCAGTCCCCCTCTACTTCTCAATTATATTCGTACGTCACTGTACAAACAGTAAAGCTCGTGTTAACCCACTCTAAACCCGCAAATTCCTATCCCCACCGCATCACTCCAGCAAATCATTGCTCTAAATCGCTTTCGATCCGCCCTCCACCGAACAACCATATACTGCCATGAGCGCAAAGTCCTCAACAGGCCCCGATGCATGGGCGGAAAATTGGGAAGAACAGGCTGATGTACGTCTAGACCTTATATTTGAAACTCTACTCCCACATTGCTGTCCCCATTGCAAGGACCCTCTCCTCCACTTTCACACCGCTGACATTTCAAAAAATTTTCCCCAGAAACTCGTGGCCGACACCCCACCCCCGCCGGCGGAGAAGAAAGTCTCCTCCAAGGTGACCAAAGCGCAGCGCAGAGCCCAACAGGCTGAGTTCAACCGCCAATTATGGGCGGAAGCGTAAGCCCTTCGCATATCCGAAAAACTCATAGTCTTATTGTCCTGACACGCTCTCTGTTTTTTTCCGCCATGTGCAGTGAATCTCCCCAGACTTTCCATTTCCTTGAAGCGCGCTCCGATGTGCCCCTACGGCAAGAATTCAAACCCGCAGTCACAGTACTCAGTCGGAACCCACAGATTGCGACGCGTGGTTCAAGGTTGAACGGAACCACGGCGGGAATGTCCCGTCTGGGCCTGAATGATGACGACTCGGAGGATGACGGCAGGGCTGCTCTGCCCTCTGCTGAGGAACGCCAAGCAATGGCGCTGCGCAATCTGGAGGACAGGCAGCGCAAATACGACGAGGTGCGAGAGCGCTTGTTCGGCAGTCCCTCCGCCCCCACGTCAGGGGCGTCGTCCCCCCGCAGTGCTACGCCCCCGAAACCGTACGAGGGACGCGGTAAAGGTAGAGGTCGCGGTAATGGACGGGACAACAGCTCCAACAGCAGCAAACGCGACTCCTCCACAGCGTCCGGGAAATCCGGGCAGTTGTATGACCCGGACTCTCCTCGAACGAATACCGGCTACAATTCTCGGAGAGAGAAGCAACCCGCAGGCCGGACCAATACCGACGGCACCCAGTCACCCCGGCAGCCAATCCGCAGCCCCCGGGGACCCGATAGCAGTGGTCGAGGTGGTTTCCGAGGTGGCTTCCGAGGCGGTCGAGGTGGTTAAAGTACGTGCACTATCTACGATACGACATTAATTCCTCCCGCCCGAATAGGGCATTACATATCCAAATTGTCAGCGGCGCGACGCCAGGTCCCAGCCACAAAGATATTTATTCGCTCGATTAGTCTTCGAAGAGATCCACCGCATACTACGGGAGCCCTCGCCCAGAATTTATCGCGTTGGCCAACTGCGATGTGTTGGGCCGGTTTTCTGGAGGTTTCAGCGCATCCTCAGCCTGAACGGGGTACGAATACTTACCCGCGTATCGCTCATAGCTATCCAGATAAAGTCCATCATCGCTCGTGGTCGCCGCAACGTTGGGATCGTTCTCGATCGCATCTACCCACGCACCCCATCTGCTACCAGCTTCCGGGTCTGGCCAGCCGCGATACGGCTTCAGCACCCGTCGGAGCCGGATGATCCAAGGAGCAACCTGTACGTCGACGAAGGAAAGTTTGTCGCCCAGAAAGAACGGCCCTTCGGTATGAGCCGCGCCAACCAGAGTGTTGAACGAGTCACGGAGTTCTTCTGCGTGCGAGATCTGTTTCTCCTGTTCCTGTTCTTGGAGAACGCGGTAGAACGTGGGCACAATGTGGCGATTTACCTGTCTTGGTTAGGTGGCACGTTCTCATTTTGGACTTGTGCACATACATAATCAGCCCACAGTCGACAATGCGCTCGCAATTTTGGGTCCCCTGGGGGCAGGAGCGGAGGGCCGGCGTTCAAGTCTTCCAACTAGAGGCGTGTCAGAAAGGACCGGCGAGGTCTGAAGCCGATCACTTACGTATTCGAGCAACACGGTGCTCTCATGCGAACTCCAGTCCCCGTGGCGCAAGGCAGGAACCAGGCCCCTAGGGTTGACTTCAAGCAGGGATTGGGGCTTCTTGTAAGGGTCAACTTCGATATACTGGTACGGAATGCCCTTAAACTGCAGAGCGACCCATACGCGTTGGACAAAGGGACTGCAGGAGATGGTCAACAATATGAGCCGGCAGGTAACAGCGAACCGTCTCACCAAAAGCAACTGCCAAACAACTTCAGATCGTTGTCTTCAGAGTGATCGGCAACAGTCTTGGCCGCGAGTCCGGTAGCTTCGGTGTGGTACGATTTCTGTGATTGGTTCTGGGTAGACATGGTTCGCGTCTGTAGGCGGCCAGCGTTAGAACGGAGATATGCTGATGGAGCGTGTGCAATTGCCGATTGAGTTTCGGCACGTCAGACTATTCCAGAAACAAGGACTCGTCTGCCAGAAAGATCGAAGGAACATAACGCAAGGATGGCAAACATGATAGAGAAGAAAGAAGAGAAGGGGAAGCGGGGAATTGCGTGCGGTGGTCAGGTTCAGCCCGCCGCACCAATGACGTAAACCCCCCCCCATCAACACCACCGCCCACCGACAGTAGTAGATCATAGAGACAAATAGAAAGGCATCTCGAAACTTACCGGGACCGCCTTCTTCCTCTCTTGCCTCGCCTCCTTCAAGAGAAACCGCTGCACACTATTCTTCTTCACGCGATCACTCTCTTCCAGCGTATGCCGATGCCCCCCAGTAACCCCATCATTCTTCCCATTCCCCCCGTTCCCATTCACCCTCTGGATAGTAAAGAACCGCTGCCCCTGCAATCCCGGATGACCCTCGGGCAACAGCGCATTCAGATCCGGCGTTAGCATCCCAAACGGATGATTATAATTGGAACCGGAGACCCCGTCCATCCGCTCAGCGGCACTATTGCTGCCAGTAGCAGCAGCAGAACCACCACCCCCCACCCCCGCCAACAAACCCTGCCCTTCCTCCCCGTCCTCCCCCTCAACTGACCAAGGAAAATATTCCGTGATCTTAATCTTGACATCGCACAGATCCCGCTCGCGGGCCGTGCGCTTCCGCTTCTTCTTGTTGGGGTCGGTGGACTTGGGCGTGCCCGGCGGGCGGCCTTTGAGCCGGCAGTCCCAGTAGTGCGAGACGAGGGGCTTGCGCTTGTAGTGCTGCGTCGAGCGATGGGAGTAGACGTTGTCGATGTGCGGGAAGTAAGTTAGGAATCTGCCCACCGTTCTTGGGGATTTAGTATCTAGAATTGGGGGGCGCGTGGGCTCTCTTTGGCAGATGCGCCGGGAGGGGGACATAAAGAGGGAAACGCACTGTTCCTCACTAAGAACGATCATTTCATCGATGTTGAAGAGGCGCGTGCGCCAGAGGTCGAGGTCGGGAGGGTTGAGGATGGTGCGGATGTTGAGGGGCTGGCATTGCGTGTGGAGTTGGGATTGTGGTTGGGGGAGCTGAGTGGAGGTGGAGGTGGAGGGTCCGGGGGAGATGGGTAAATCGCCTGCTGGAACGAAGGGCTGGAGATACTTGGTTTGCTGGTGGTGGTTTTGATGGAAGTTTGGGTTGGGAGAGGGGGATTGGCGGTGTTGTTGATGCGGTGGTTGTGATGCAGCTAGAGTGGATGCGTCTGCAGCGACAGAGGGAAGGGAGGGTGCTAGGTAGGTTGAATGTGAAGCGGAGTGATGTAGATCACCGGACGAGATGCCGAGGGGATTGCCCATAATGATAAAGCAGCCAGCTCATATGTTATACTGTACGGAGTATAGATAGTGGATTCGATCTAGATGGAAGGCCAGGCGAAGAACGCTGCTTTAGTCGGGGCGGGGAGGAAAAGAGGCTGGGGTTTGAAGCGGCGGGCGGTGAGTGGAGCTCTCCCCCCGCTTCTTTATTGGTGTCGATCCCGCCTTCTGTCTGACGAATGGGGAAAAGCTTGAAGCTTCCCGCCGTCACTTTCATCAACTCCGTATCTAGATCGAACTTGAGAAAAAAGGAACAAATTTCACCGAGTCACAGGACGACTCAACCGCAGCGCCGCAAAAAGCTCCACCGGTGCCTCCTCCCCCCTCGCAAAGCTATACAATCTCGACTGTCGCACCACCAACTGCCGACCCTCCATACATCCATAGATAATCCGGGCATTCCGGGGCCCGACTGCAGAGATCAGCAGAGTAGGGAACGTCTCCTCCTCTGGGAAAAGATACGGGTAGGATAATTTCAGATCTTGCACGTCATACTCATCGGCGTCCATCAGCAGTTCCTGCTCTGCCTCGGTATCGACCTTCAGCTGGAACGCACGGCTGCGCATCGCCGACACTAGCGCCACCAGCTCCCCGTGAAGCAGCGCATTCTCGCGGCCTTCCTTGGGCTGATAGGCGAGAAGGGTGAGGTGCGGAAAGACCTGGTCTTTATATTTGTCGGGCTCGACATAACACTTGACCGTCCAGCGGGTGCGGTCTGCGTAGTAGCCTACGTCGTAGAGATCGAGGAAGAATGGGCTCGGTAGGCTGAGGTACCGCACAGGAAAAAAGTCTGTCAGTATTTTACTTTTTGCATTTCTTTTTCTTTTCACTTTTTCTTTTTTATCATCCTTACCACCATAACCCTCTGAGTGAGAGCTACTTACGATATTTCGTGTAGACCTAATTGAGCGAGCATAGGGATGCCTCGCGCGAAGTCGTAGATAAAGTCACAACATATGAGCGTGTGATCTTCGATATCGATCTCCTCCGGTGGCTTCGGCAGATCTGGGAATGGGCGGGAGAAGGGCATGGACTGGGTGCGGACCTGTCTGATGGTGTCGACCTGAGGTTGGAAACTGACTTCGGGGTGATGAGGGCTCGAGGTTGACCACGAAGAATCCAGCAGGCGCTCAAAATCGTACTGGGGGACATGATGGATGTCACTGTCTCCTTGGAGGTTCACATGCCCGTCTCCTGGAATTGCGGCCTAAACGTCGAGGAGCCGTTTGAGGAGCTGGTCCAGCTGAATTCTTGTACGTTGGTTGCGTACGCAGGATCGGCGGACAGAGGAAGCAGATGAGGTCATTGTGAAGGACTTAGGGGCTTACTGATTGAGCTCGAGGTATGAGGCTATCAGGAAATTAGAAGAGTCGAAGTAGGCAAGCTCTTCCTGGATTGCAGAGAGAAACGGGTGGAAGAGGGGGACAGAGAAAAAGAAAAACTAAAACATGTGAAAATGATTTTGCTTGACATTCACATGGACGGACTTACTGTACCGCCTAGCTAGTGGTGACATGGCGATCATGTACCTTGAATCAGATGAGCTCTACCATGGTTTGGAAGTGAGATGAATTTGCTTTCTGTAGGGTGAATGACTACAGTACATTCACTGAAGGGAGCTGAAGCATGCTTAAGGAGTCTGAACATGACACTGACTATCCAGTATGGCAGGATGGGTCCTCAAAATATAGGTGAAGCTCTACTCTGAGTCCGCTTGGCTTTATATAGTGCTCCAATTTTGCCATATTAACTACAGACAGAAATCCTAGACGCTTAATACAGCTCAGCTGTCCTCGGGTGCTTCCTGATGACTTATAAAGGTATTGGGATGAGCAGAGAGCAAGGTTAATAAAGATGACAAGCTGTTTAGGTACTTTACAGAGCGCTTAGGATGATTGCTTATGCAAATTGGTGGTCAATGTCTTGTCATGTTGTATGAAACCAGGTATCTAGTAAAGACCCACTTTAGTAAACAAAAAAGGTGTTTACTCAGAAAACCCCATCCACTTACACGTCATTGCTTCTCAAACACTGCTTTTGCTTCATCGTGTCATTCTAAGTCTTCTCAAACCACCAATCATATCGCTCTCCGCGCCTGACGTGCCGACTCAAGCAATCTCTACTTCGGGGGGCGGAGGCCGCGAGCCCAATAAGCGCGTCAATGGAGGCAAGGAAAACAAGATCCCCGGGTCTAAGCGGGCCAGGAAAAACCAAGTAAGTTCGAAAGAATCCCCCTTTGTTCATATCACGTTGTGACGGCATTAGCACTGCACAAAGTGCGGGTGCTTCGGGCATTCGCGCGCCTTCTGCCAACGACAGGTTCCACCGGGAACAGCCCGGTTCAAGCGCCCGTCAAGGAAGCCTAACAACGCATCGGACCGCCGCCATGCGCGGCGAGCGGCCGGGTATATAACACGGTTGCTGAACAGAACTTTTGGGCCGATGAGAGACAATTGGGCCGAGGAGATGGAGGAGGAAGATGACAAGCGGGAGGAAATGGCGGGGAACGGAGAAGATAGGCAGGAGGGGGAGGAGGGGGAAGAGGGAGGGAAGGAGGAGGAGGAGGAGGAGGAGGAGGAGGGAGAGATGAAAAATGATAAGTAGAGGTGAGGGGAGGGGTGAGCCTAGATCTCAATGACATGTCTCTTTACAAGCCAGGCCTCCCCACTAGACAGGCGAGCCTCTCTCCCACCTCATTGTGGTGTCGGAGTCTAGCACCCAGTATATCAAAGTACTGGTGAAACCAAGACGAGTCCAACCTCTTAGCGTACTTCTTTTGTCATAAGGTCCCTTATTCAATACTCAAGTGTTGAGCCCAGGTTCTCCTTGCTTTGGTTCTGGAAGGGGTTTCGCCTAAAGTATCTAGTCCATATTTCTAGATCGCCTGTTCATATAACCTTGATCTTGTAAGCTCTGGCTAGTAACAGGATATATTTATCCTTTCTAAGTACTAGGAGATGAAAGGTATAATGCAGAAAAGATTCAACTTTAGAAGCTTTGGTAACGAGTAACACAGATATGAGTTATGTGATAAAATTCTTGATATATCAGTTGCGTACTTTCTTACTCCCATCCTGAAAAGTGCTTTCTTCCTCATATAGTGAAGGAACTGCATGGCTTCGGTCTGATCTTTTGACTTGCTCACCGTCAGAATCAATTGTATTGATACTCTTTACGATTACGCTGTTCTGAGCAAGTTGGATTGAATGCAATTCAGTTCAAACTCCATTACCCCAAATGAGTTGCTTGTACATCCTCATGGCTCTCTGGACTGATTTAGCATTATCATATCCATGATACGATATCTTCGGCAAGCATGTGTATAGTCTTCGCACATTGAACCAAACGTGCCGTAGTCAATTTTCTGGCTGTGGTGAAGGCCCATCAGGCCCCCAGTCTTCATATGGTCATAAGCCTTGTGAGTATGACCTCTTTGATACTTGATCGAGAATTTCCTCGGTGAATACAAAGGCTCTCTTCTCCGGTTAAACCTCTTTTCACCAAAACGCCCAAATCTAGCTGGCGCAGTTACATCTATAGACCTCTAATCAGCTGTAACAAGTCAATTGAACCAATCCAATAGAAACTGATAGTCAGGCTACTTAGCCTTGAAGCCATCAGAGCTTGTGTCTGAGTAGACCTTAGTGCTGCCAAAGTGGGGCTTCTCTGGGTTGCTAGGCTATCGAGGTACTGTTTACTTTACTTCCTTGATCGAACGAGTCCGTTGTTGAGGTAAACCCCTCCCGCTGCTGCGCAGAGTCTCTAGCAGCAAGGCCTAAGGACACTAGATTATTGATGAGGGTCTCAAGCTACTAGAGCAACGTTAGTGGATACGGCCGACTCGTAAGAGGCGCTGTTGCCTAAGATATAATCACTCATCTCTGTACTGAAGCTTTAAAGCGTCAAACCTACTGCTTTCAGATATGTTTGTTAGTTCCAGCACTTATTATGTTATATCGAAAGTTTCTATTTCTCAGCGTCTGCGAGTGCCTACGAGATTGAGAAAAAAGATCAGTGGATTCGGAACCTTGGAGTCAGGGCAGGCAAGCCGAAGGATTTATTCAAGCCGGCGCGGCAAGCAGACTTCCATCTAATTCGGTCCGACACATTAGTCACGACCTCAGCTGACAGCGTGGTGGCGGTGGGCAGTGAGACCAAGCATCAAAGGAAAGATGTATACCAATCATAACCATGAGCTTTCTTCGTAAACAAACTTAAATCGTAAAAAATACATATACATCATGAATCACAAACGCCTAGTGCCAGGGCTTGGGTATGCAGAAATCTATGTGCAGTAACCATAATCCAGGAAAGCACAGTTAACCAGAGCCAGCGCGTCTAGTGCTGACATTGAGCTTCTCAAGCCGAGAATGTAAGCCTATGGCTCCTCCACCGGCAGCTTTGCATTTGCAGCATTTTGCTCCTCGGCAATCACATCAGCGGGGATCTGGTCGGGCGTCGTGTTGACTAGCATGATCATGGGTATTAATGCAGCGCCGAGAAGACCGAATGTCACGCAGCTGGGAAAAATCAGTTATCACCTGAGCCACTGAAAAAAAGATGGACTATAGGATTGAAGAAAAGGAGTTATACATACAAGCCAACAAGCGGACTACTCGACGTCTGAGTGTTCATGCCATAAGCGATGGCTTGGCCAATAGCCTCGATACACCGGAATGCTGCGCCGTTGCGGACGTTTTCTAAAAACTTGTTAGTAAACATGACCTAATTCTGAAAGGGTGTAAAGAGATGAGGTCACCTTGGGCATCCGTTGCAAAGGATGAGAGCAACCAGTACATATACGACTGGGACAGGGGCCCCGTCGTCTGCACGAAGAAGTAGGGCAGGAAGGCCGTGGCGTACAGGCCATCGTTCCAATCGATGTTACCGGGGTCGTGACGGTCAAATTTCACCTGCATAATGATGGACCAGATGTACACGCCAATGTTGAGGATGACAACGGTGTAGAGACCGATCTGGGCGCGGCGGCGCTGGCTCATGCCCTTCATGTCGAGGATAAATCCGAGACCAAAGCAGCCAATACTAGATGATGGTTAGGGCTTGGATGGTGTGACGAGATTGTAAAGGTATGAAAGACCTACATGCAGAAGAAAGGCGAAATCAGGGAGGAGAGGGCGCGGGCGCGAACGGAAAAGTAGTCGGCCAGATAGGTACTCCAAGATCCTCTATTATCACGGTCAGGCTCCGGTCGGTTGGCTCAATTGGAGTGGTTAAGATTGTTGCTTACGAGTAAAAGAACGACCACAAAGCCCAGAGGGCGGAAAGCATGATAAGCTTGGAGGTGATGGTCTTAGCAATGCGTCGAAGCTCCATGCGACTGGAGAGCGTCTCTGCTGTCACAATTCTAGTGCCATCGGAGCGGACAACGTGTTCGAAGGGAATGATCAATAGAGCGAATGGTAGGCTTCGAGCTTGTGTTAGCTGCATATTTGCAGGTAGATTAGAGTGGCCGAGAACTCACGCAATGCACTCAATGATCACAAATGCAATGAAAGTGTCAGGGGTCACTCCACCATCCGCTCCATCCTTACTATTCTTCGCCAAGCTGTGCAGACAACCTACAGTCAGAACTCAATCACCAGTAGATTTGAAAACTGGGTAAGAACTCACTTGATCGCCCCTCCGACCAACTGTCCCAAGTTCCGCGACACAATCCACAACGCTAGATACTTTCCCCGGGCACCAGACGGCGCTAGAGTCATGATGGCGCCAGCCTCAGCGACATACCAGCAAGCAGTGCCGATGCCGCCGATAGCACCACTTAGGATGAGGTACCATTGGTTTCCAAACTTGCTATTGCAGTAGTATGCTGAGCCCTGAATTGGAAATGACAAGGAACCGATGACAAGGGCCCATTTGACGCCGATTTTGTTCACAATGGGACCGCCCAGGAAGCAGACTGCGAGGTTGCGGATTCTTGCGTTAGCGTACTCGACATTTCTTGATGGGGAGAAAGTGTATCTTGAGAGGAACATACCGACTGCAAGCATGGCATATCTGATTGCGTTGGAGATGTTAGACACCTGGGGACTTGCAAGACCACCACCACCCAGGCCTGAGAGGGATTAGCGGCGCATTCTATAACACATCAGAATGTTATTGGGGATAGCTCTAACCAGTGATTGCGTCCGACATAGCAGGTCCACAGAACGCTTGCACACTTAGAAGAATCATCTGCGTCAGACTGTGGCACCAGACTCGCTTCCACCATGGGAGAAGGGGCTCGCTGGTCCCTGCCACGGCAGTAGAAGGAGGATCCTCATGGGTATCTGGAATCACGGCTTTTGAGTCGGTCATTGTGATCGGGTAACTTTACGACTCCTACTGCCTGTATAGTATCGCTCGAGGGAAAGGAGAATTTGAAGGAAAGGAGGCAGAAACCCGAGGCATGGGGAGCAATTTAAGGTCCTGTTGGTAGGACATCTCGGCTATACGAGATAGCATATTCGCCGCCTACCGTGTCGTTGGACCCGACAAAAGATTAGGCTTATCGTGGGAACCTCTCGCCGGCGAGATAGCGACAGTGGGTCGCCTTCCCCGTGGGGTGAGTCTTGAGCATGGGAAGGTCCACGCGCAGAAGAAGAGTCTAGCAGTCTAGCAGTCTAGCTCCCTGCTTGGCTCCTCGATAGCGATTGGTGGCTTTATCGTGATAAGTTGGAGCAGTTGGAGGTTCTTGGCAAGACTTATCGCTTATCGTGCCTCATGACTGATAAAAGAGCGGGGATTCCCCCCATCGGGCCGGCCAGAGGGGGTCGGAAGGTCCACGCGATGGCATCAAGAGAGATAAAGTGATTATGATATGCTGCACATGCAATAGTTTGATGTAGGAACCGAAGGTTTTGTTGATGTAATTAACTTTATGTCAACCTTGATTGTCGGGTTGGGTCACGAATCGTATCTCAGTACCTGAGGCTGCCGTTGCCTTGTTGCCTGGCTTGGGAGGCACCCCGGTAACACTGTATGGGCCTCGAGATATGACTCTTCATCGAAGAACGATTAAGACCAGAGAATCTACCAGGAGCTGTCCAACGCTCGCCGATAGGGTCTTCGGCTTTGGCCACTGGGGTGAAGAGCTCAGTGATCTGAAGGTGGCTCAAATCCGAGGACAATGAGACCGATTCATCTGTGACGGTGGCATTTTATATCAAGGTCCGCGTCTGTGTTACAGTCTTACAACATTTGACCTTACGCGACGAGATCAGTGCTACGACATGCACCTACACTATACCTGCGGATGACACGAGAACACGGGTTCAGGTCCGGCAATGGCTCCAAAAGATCGTCCTGGAGACGGCAGCTTTGCGAGGTAAATGTAGTGCCCTGAGACTCTTTGAATCCAGACTCCTTGATTACCCCCAAGAGCTATGAGCTTGGAGATGACAATGGATGTATGTCGATCTCCTGCCAGTATGTCTTCGTTTCCTACCCACGTGGTTGCCAGCCAGTGCTGTTCATGGCCCTGGCGATGTCTTTGTAGGCTGGAAAAAATAATTCAACCAAGCGGGAGTTGAACTGATAGCTGTTGCTCTGGTAGCTTAAAAGCGTACCGCCATTTGTCTCGATGATTGTGGCTCGATATGCCGCCCTCAACGGTGGTCTGTTTCTTAGGTTACCTCCCCTCGCCTCTTCAATAAGGCACAATTACACATTATACCATTGGATACACTCTTTACTGGGATGTTACATGGAGGACGGGCGTTCATCAGGAGGTTTCTATCTGTCTTCATTAATCCGGTTTACCTAGCCTTTCTTGAGGTAGTTAGCAAGATGTGCTATTGATATTAGTCGGCCGTTAGACCAACTCACAATCAACTGTGTTCTATTGCTAAAGTTGTGTTTGCAGAAGGCTAGTAAGATGTACAGAGCTGTAGCGTAATATGGCCTTCCACAAGTCTTGTTACCATCACGGTGCCATGAGCTCCTTGGACCCTGGATTTACTATGAGAGGGAGTTCGTGGGCGACGAGGAGACTATTCCGTCACTGGAAGAGATACAGAGTTCCTCCATCTCGGTCCGAAGTGTCTGAATAAGGCTACCGCAAACTCAGCAGCATCTGTTCAGGATTCTCAACCAGCTCCCGCACTCTGTTAGCCATACGCGCCATAGTCGCGCCATCCACCACTCGATGATCGGCACTCCAGCTGAAATTAACGAGTTCGCCTTTCGTGACCTGGCCAGCGTCGTCGAAGACAGGCAGAGTTCTGACTTTTCCAATGCCCATAATCGCCACTTCAGTCGGGACTAGCACTGGTGCAACATAAGTGCCTCCGATATTTCCGATGTTAGAGACGGTGATAGTACCGCCGTTGAGATCCGCCGGCGTGATCTTACCCTCCCTGCCCAAGGCACTAAGTCGAGTTATCTCCGATGCAACATCTAGGATAGAGCGATTGGCAACATCTTTGATGTTGGGTACAATCAGCCCTTGAGGAGTGTCCATTGCAATTCCGATATTATGCTTTGAGCGCATGATAAGCTGTGGCTTATCTGGGTTGGTTGCGTCAACCCTTGCGTTGAGTAGGGGATACTCGTTGAGAGCAAGAGACACAGCCTTCACAACAAATGACAGAAAGGTGACTTTCCGTGGGTCCTTTGTCTCGGCGGCGAGTTTCCTTCGCATGGAGTTGACAGCATTTATGTTGAGCTCATCGGCGAACAGTAGATGAGGGATTGTGAGAGAACGGGTCATTGTCTTGAACATCTGCGACTGGATGGGCGTTAATTTGACTGCCGTCTCGGCTTGTGGCTCCTCAACCGCTGCAGGCTTTGTAGAGACTCCGGAGTCTCGCCTCATAGCAAACCGCTGTACATCCTCCTTCATAACCCGGCCATTCTTGCCGGTACCTTGTACATCTTCAATGTTGACATTCAGTGTCTTCAGCAGCCCTCGGACTGCGGGTGTGGCGAGCGTGGCATAGTGTGATTTTGATGTGCTATTATCGACTGGCGATTGTGTGGGCTGAGGAGCTTGCTTAGGTTGTGGTTGCGTGGGTTGTGAGATTATTGGCTCCGGAGCTATTGTGATAGGTTCGGAGATGGGTTTAGGCGGGGGAGTCTCATCGGGGTATTTCCCATCTTCGACCTCGATATCGCAAAGAGCCTGCGCAGGATTACTTAGTACACAGATTTATAAGCGTCCATCTGTAGCATACCTTGCCTGTGGGGACGGTGTCGTCGGCCTGGAAATGGAGCTTCTTGACCACTCCTTCGTATCTCGACGTGATCTACAGAATTTAGAACGGGATCAATATGACGGTCACGAATTCCATCAACTCACATCATCAACTGCCTTATCAGATTGGTATTGACAGAGTGGCTTCCATTCCTCGATACGCGCCCCTTCCTCGACGTACCATTGGATGATCTGGACCTCCGTTATCCCTGCGGAGACGTTGGTAAACAATCGATTCGAGCTGCGTTGCACACCCACGTCTCAAAGAATTCAAGTGGGAAATAGGGGGAGCATACCCTCGCCGACGTCCTTCAATACTTGGGACTTCACTCCCCACAAGGGCGCAGCTTTTTGAAATTGCCGGCGAGGAATGGTAAGTGTTTTGGTCGGAAGGGCCCTCGCCCGTTGACCAGAGCGAAGAGCCCAGGAAAAGCTTCCACTGCACCGTAGAACGTTCATGATAATGATCTGAAGTCAGTCCTCACACTGAAAAAAAGAAGATGGTTCACAAAGAGAGAAACCCAGGCAGCTTCCCCGCCGCATGATGGGTGTTGGGGGAGTAAGTAAACGCGGAGACTCCGCCGACGATAACCGACGCTCGGCGTCATTGCACGTGACCCTTCTCCGCATCTCCGCATCATCTCCGGGCCGTGCGTTTTTCCGCTGGAGTATGCATAATTGAGGGAGTGATCGAGATAGACCAACCGGTAAAATGCCATTGAAGAATTACTATCTCGTAGAAAAGACTTATACCTGATCTTATAGGAGAATCGGTCCGGTACATCACATACGTGTGCGTTAGTTAGTGACATTGTCATATTCCATCCGCCGGATCGTCTCTACTCACTTCCTTCCCTCATTAACTCTCCAGCCGATTAACCTGCCCAGCTTCATGCCAATAACATCGCCTAGCCTAACCGACACGTAACGAATGTTCACCCTGAATCTACTCCTTTGAAACGACGGGACACCTTCAAAGTCATTCATAATCATTTGAACCTCGTCATCCAAGACGAGTGCGAGTCCCTAGACCCATGTTTCCCCACTACGGTCCGTGCTTTATATATCAGTGGAGCACGATTGCGAACCAGACTTCCGCAATTCTTTGTCGATCATTATCATGCCAACACCTCACTTGTAAAAGATCTGATATCCCAGGGGTGACCAAACATCAATCGAATGTTTGATAATGGACTGCTGACCCTTGGCATGCCTGAAATTTCCGGGTGCGGTGGATCGAATCCTGCCTTCCATTGGCGCCGAGCCCATAATTTGTTGCTGGAGTTCAGCTGGGGATCTCCTTCAGCGCTAGCCACTGCCAATGATAAGCTGCGCCCCAATTGTTATTCTGAAAGGCTGATGCCTACCAACAGATTATTTCTTTGACTCGCGCGCAGCTTCAGCCCTATCCGAAAGTTTCTTGACCTAGGTCCTAGTTGCAGAAAAATTTTCCCTTTGTGTCCTAGGTCTTTCGTCTCATCTACATCGATTGAGAATAGCCTATCCTTCATCCCGAGCGAATTCGCATGCACGAGTGAGTGAACACTACAAGATGGTTGCCGAACATCTCACCATCCGCAATGTCACATCAACACCAATCCGGCTTAAGCGCATCGAGCGGTTCCGCGCGCCGGAGCGGTCGTTCGAAGGGGTGCAAACCTTCGCTAGGAACTTCACCCGCGTGCTCACCAACGTGACTCGCGCCACCACACCCGTCGCCGCCATCCACGACGACACCACGCCATTCACTCACAATGAAGCCGACTTCGAGATCGCGCCCTTCCAGACCGTCCACACCGAGATCCGCGCCTTCCTGGACTCGAAGAAGGAACGCCTGCGCTGGATCTTCGAGGTTGAGGGCGAGGAGCACCAGCTCCAGACCCCGGTGCCGACCACCGAGTCAGCCACCATGAAGGCGATGAGCGATGACCCCAAGTTCCGGCTCACGGGCGTCTTCATCACCCCGGAGTCGCACTTGACCATCTTCTCGTCCGCCCACCTCGAAGCCTGGATGCGGGAGCTCGACGGCGACGTGCTGCTCTCCTCGCTCTCCATCCCGGGCACGCATAACTCGCCGACCTGCCATGTCGCGGCGCCCTCGGTGCGGTGCCAAGCGGTCAGTCCGCGCGAGCAGCTGCGCAACGGGGTGCGGTTCTTCGACATCCGCGTCCAGCCGCAGTACCCGGACGACGCGGACCGCGACGAGCTGATCCTCGTGCACAGCGTGTTCCCCATCTCCCTTACTGGTAGCAAGTACTTCCGGGACCTGATGCGCGAGGTTGAGGAGTTCCTGTCGGAAAACCCGTCAGAGGCGGTGATCATCTCCTTGAAGCGCGAGGGGCCCGGAAACCACACCGACGAACAGCTCAGCCGCATCCTCAGCGACCACTACACCTCCGCAGAGGGCAGCCGGTGGTACACGGAGCCCAAGATCCCGACCCTAGGCGAGGTCCGCGGCAAGGTCGTGCTGCTACGCCGCTTCAACATCCAGGACAGCCTCAAGGAGCTCCACGACGGCCACGGCTGGGGCATCGACGCCAGCGGCTGGGCCGACAACTGCGCCGACGCCACCTGCCCCAGCGGCCAGCTCTGCATCCAGGACTTCTACGAGGTCCTCCTCACGCAGAACATCGATCAGAAGATCCAGTACGTCCGCGACCAGTGCCAGCGCGCCGGCGGCACGGTGTATCCGTTCGGCGTGCTGCCGGATTCGTCCGCCACCCGCGACCATCCCTTCTATATCAATTTCCTCAGCGCCAGTAATTTCTGGAAGGTCGGCACGTGGCCGGAGAAGATTGCTGCCAAGGTGAATCCGGCTACGGTCGATTATCTGTGCAGACGGCATGGCAGCGGGGAGGATGGGGATTGGTCCACGGGCATCCTGGTCACAGACTGGGTGGGCTTGGATGGGGACTGGGATCTGGTGCGGTGTATTGTAGGGATGAATGCCCGGGTGAGGGAGAGGCGGCTGGCGCAGGTGGACGATTGGTAGGATGGGCGGGGACCTCCCTGAAGTAGCATGATTATTACACCCATCTGATAGTGGATGTTTGAATAGATACCATTTACTCCTATTTCGAAAGCTTCAAGCAGGCACGACCAGCGTTCATGCAGTAAAACGAAGTCCAAAAAGAAAGGTCATTGTATCCTAGAGCAGTAGACTCCGATCTCTAATCGATCTCATATGCTAAAATGGGTTAAGAACAAACACAAACAAGAAAAGGTTACACATGGGTGCTATTATACACAGAAAAAAGAAAGGGAAATCCCCCACCGAAAAACCACATTGTATTCACCGCCGTGTTCAGGCGGACTCATCCTTCTTCTCCTCGGGACCCTTCTGCTCCTCCTCCAGGACGCTCCGACGGCTCTCCAGCGTGAAGTACAAGCTCTTACCAGCGCCCTCGAGGGTGTTGGTGATGCTGGAGCCGATGCTCTGGAGCGCCGTGACCAGCTGTGACCGCAGACCGTCCATACCGCCCTCGATGCTGCTGACCCACTTGGACTGCTCGACGTCCATGACCTGGCCGTCCATGCGGGCGGCGATGAGCGACAGCTTGCTCAGGCCGTTCTGCACGGGGATCTCGTGCCAGCCCGGGTTGGCCTTGCGGGTCGGGGCGGGCAGGCCGACGACCTTGGGGGCCAGGATGGTGAGGGCGGCCTTCAGGTGCTCCGGCGAGACTTGGGGGATGGTGAGGACGGCGGTGGGGCCGACCAGAAGCGGCGCCATCTCGTGCTGGCCCTTGTGATCGAGGACGGCGTCGTGGGCGGCGCGCGACAGGTCGTGCGTGAACAGGCTCGGGTCCAGCGGGATCTCGGCGGAGGTCTGCGTGACGGGGTCGACGGCGTCCGGCGTGGCCGCCGCCGCCGTGTTGCTGGGCCGGAAGTACTCGACGATGCGCAGCGCCACCTCGAAGATCCGGGTCTGCACGATCTGCACCTTGATGTGCGGCGCCAGCGCGGGCGCGGCGCGGCCCTCCGACGTGATCTTCTCGTCCACCTTGCGCATGGCGTGGCTCAGCTCCCGCCGGATCGCCGTCCACTCCACCGACTGCAGGTTGTCGTGCTGCAGGAACACCATCAGCGGCGCCGTGCGGATCATCGAGGTGTACTGGCGCAGGAGCTGCGAGCGGCGGTACTCCGGTCGGCGGTATGACGGGGGCTGCGAGGAGGGATAGTGGGCGATCGGAACGTGCGAGCGGGTCATCTGTTCGTGGGAAGCGGCCGGGGTCGTCGCCGTGCTGGCATATCGGGCTGCAATGGCCATTTCATACAGGCAGAGTCTTTGGCGTCGGACTGGCTGGGCGAGCCGGCCGCTGGAGACACGCATCCGGGGAGGCATTTTGATGGTGGGAGGGAGTTGACGGAGGGCGTGAAGAAAGGAAAAAAAATTACGGACGCGGTAGGAAAGTAGGTCCAAGAGACAAATAAGTTTTCCCAAGTCCGGTGGGATTGACAACGCCGGCGACAATCACAATGTCTGGGGCAGGATCGCGGACTGGCGAAAATATGGCACGAAATCTTGTTGTCCCGATGCGGTTAGACGAAACCTGGGGCGGTGAGATTCTGCAAGTTTGCTTGCGCAGCGCCGGAGGGGACCGAATGACTCTTTCTGCTTCGGTCTCTTTCATTGTCTCCTCGCATTTCAATTTATTTTCCATTTTCCACTTCTGGAGAAAGCTATAACACCTGGCTAGTGATCTTGTTCTCTTCGTCAGGAACAATGGCTGCTCCGCATCAGGAAACCAAGCAGGGACAGGTCTCTATCTCACCCCTCCTCAAGAGACTCGCCTACCCCGCTACAGAGGTTCAGGTCTCCGCGACCGAGATTGCTGCTGCTTTTGCGCTGATCTTCGAAGATGGGCTCTCGCAGATTCAAACTGCCGCGCTTCTGACGCTCTTGCACTCTACTGGACTCGATCGTGATGCAGAGGTGATCGCCAAATGCTCCCACCGCATGAGAGAAGCTGCCGTCCAGGTGGACAAGGCTGCTCTTAAGGCGGCTATGAAGTCCCGCGGTAAGAAGGAGGGACAGTACAGAGGTGGTCTGGTATGTGATGCCTAGTGATCCGATCACTCCTCATAGTACACTTATCTGATTGTTTCTTCCCGCTGGCTATAGTGCGACATTGTCGGAACCGGTGGTGACTCTCATTCCACCTTCAACATCTCGACCACCTCGTCCATCATTGCCTCTCCCCTTCTCCTCACAGCGAAGCACGGTAACCGGGCACAGACGTCTTTCTCCGGGTCCGCCGATGTCCTGCAGGCCGTGGCACCAATCCCTCCGAAGATCGATGCCGTCACCGCAGAGAACCTGAGCAAAGTGTACGCTGCGACCAATTACTCCTTCCTGTTTGCGCCCAACTTCCACCACGGCATGCGGTACGCCGACACTGTGCGACGTGGCCTGGGTCTTCGGACGATTTTCAACCTCATGGGACCCCTGGCCAACCCTGTTGATTGGGCCATCGAAGCCCGCGTCGTCGGCGTGGCCTACCAGAGCCTGGGACCGGTCTTCGTGGAGGCGCTCCGCCAGAACGGATGCAAGAAGGCGTTGGTCGTCTGCGGCGCGGAGGACCTGGATGAGATCAGCTGCGCTGGCGCGACCAACTGCTGGAGGCTGTCAGAGTACCCCAACGCCGCGTACAAGCAGCCGGAGAATGAGGATGACGAGTGCTCCTGCGACGAGGACCAGAACCCCCGCACTCTGGTCAAGATGGAAATGTTCCAGCTGCACCCGTCCGATTTTGGCCTGAAGGCCTACCCTCTGACGGAGGTGTTCGGGAGGAAAATGCCCAAGGACAATGCCGAAAAGCTCATGAGCATTCTGCGCAACGAGCTGCCCCGTGACGACCCCATCTTGAGCTTTGTGCTTCAGAACGTGGCCGCCCTTTTGGTAACGTCTGGTATTTGCGAGGCAGAAACCAGCAACATGGGTCCTGGGGACGATGGCCAGGTGGTCACCGAGCGGGGACCTGGCGGCGGGCGCTGGAAGGAAGGTGTCCGCCGGGCGCGCTGGTGCATTGAGAGCGGCGCCGCTCTCCGAAGCTTCGAGCACTTCATCGAAGTGACTAACCAGCTGTGATGACTTTGAACATGTATGTGCGTTATATAGTTCGGTCATTCTACGAACAAGCATTGGGAGATTGGATTATTCTGGCCGCATAGACCGGTCTGATTTGAAGAAGTTGTGAGTAGCGTAGGGTAGCATAGGACAAAACGCCGAATTAATAAGGGATAATCCAGCCCGTTGGCAGGACAGCCTCGCTAGACATTTCTTATGCACAAGCAGTAAGCTGCTGCTGCTTGACCATAGCCACGGTGACAGCCACAGCACGCAGACCCGACCTGTCGAAGCTCAATCTTCGAGCCAACCTGAAGACAAAGAAGCCTGCCCAGTCTACCCAGCGCATCCGCACCACCATCACCACGACGCAAAGAGATTGAAAGATTGAAAAAAAAATAAGTGGTATAAACTCCCAAACACCACAAGTTAAAATGCACATCAATCGTAATCCAAGCAGTAAGCCCCATCATCCCCTCCACCTTCCTCTTCCTCCTCTTGCTCCTTCCCATCTCCTTTTCCAGGTCCCCGTGAACCTGCTTCCCCTTCCCTTCCTCATCTCACCCAGCCCCCGAAGTAACGTAACTGTAACTGAGCATCTCAAAATCACCGCGCCTCAAACTGCACCATTCTGTAACACAAACCCCAGAGTCAGCGAGATCATCCTTACTCCCCCCACTTTCATCCCCGAACCCAACCCCGAAACCCAGAGGGAAAAAAAGCACAAACCTCTTCGTCCGCTCCTTATACAGCACACGGTGTCCGCACTCCTTACACCGGATCTGGTCGCCGCGCTTCAACGACACCCGCGAGTTGCACTCGCCGCACAGGTAGGCGACCATGGGGCCGTCGAGGGAGGAGCCCGCCGCGCCGCCCGCACCGGCGTCGGCGCCGCCGAAGGCGCTCTGGGAGCCGCCCAGGTTCGAGGGGACTTGGTAGGCTTCGCGGGACATTTTTGTTTCTGGTTGTGAGAGGAGGTTTTGGTAAAGGATGATGGCGGTGGATGGAGGGTTGGAGGTTTGCGATGCGATGGTTGGGTGAGCTGGTAGGGGGAATTATCGCGGGAACTTTTTTGCGCGGCGCAGATAGAAGGATCTGGAGCGGTTAGTCAGCTGGCTGTTGGGTCTGGTGGTGGCTACGGCTAGTTTCTTTGGGGTAGGCGGTGGGTTGACCCGGATCTATAGAGCACGTAATCTAGCTATGCGGTGGTAAGATTTTCAAGAGGTTCTGAGCATTGCATCCAAATTATGGGTTTGATGGGCTTTCATAGAGCTGTCAATATACGGTATCCTTTTACTCGTCAGCTGAAGGTAAGACCGTTGTTATATGGACAAAGTGGCTGAACTATTTATCTATATCCGTAGCTATGCAGTCCTAATGCAATGATATGGAATCATATATGCAAACATCACAGGGTATATGTATATGTCGTCATCAAATGTCAGAAATCACCAACCACCACCGATCTTCCCAGCCAATTCAACCACGCGAGCGGCATCCGGTGGCCCCTGGGGCTTGCCCACGTCGCTCTCAACCTCCCGATAGGTAGTATAAGCCAGCTTTGAAAGAGGTACGCCCATGAAGGTGGCCCAGTGGTTCAGGGCGACATGCACACTGGCCTCTTGTTCTGCAAGAGACAGGGGCTGTGACTGAGGCGTGACCTTACTCTCCAAGTCCGACTCGGCAGAATAGTAAGCCTCGTCCACACGAGCGAGCCATGCGCGCTGTTCATGCGGTGAGGGCTTTGGCGTCTCCCCTGAACTCTCTGTCTGTGCGCTTGTCGCGTCCCTGGCGTCTTCAATGCGGATCTGTCCTCCGCCATTCGTGCAGCCCCCAGGGCATGCCATGACCTCCACGTATGCATAGTCTGAGCCTGATCCACCTGATGCAGCATTCCGTCCCACCGGCTGCCGTCTGCTGCCGCCCATCGCCCCATTTGCTGTCCGCGCACCCGGGAGTCGCGAGACTCGCGCTGGCTTGAGTTTACGGACAAGGTTCTGGATGTTTCTGAAACCGTAGTAGCGAGCAGCCTTCATAATGGGCTGATGTTCGGGCGACATCAGAAAGTACTCCACAACGTCCGCATTCCGTCCTCGTTGAATCTCAATCTCGCTACCTGGATTTCGTGATTGGAAGCATTTGAGGACATGGTAGAGGTAGCCTCCGGAGGTACCTGTCGTTGCATTCTGGGCTGAGTTACTCTTAGAGAAGAGGAAGTCGTGCAATACTGGGTTGGGGAATTGTGGCTGTGTCACAGGCTTCAAAGGCAAACTGGGCAGCGAAACGCCTCTGGAAGATGCCAATGAAAGAAGCTCGCGCGTGGTGATGACGCAGTCAACGTCGCGAACTGGCGCGGTAGACTCAGCAGAGGACGGAGACCATGCTGCATCTGTGAGTTCTTCTCTGCTGGCCTCCAGCTTCTTATCAAAGCACGGCATTATGGCCAAATGCCAGATGCGAGAGGTGGGGATTCCCAGGCACTTGCTAAGCACCGTTTTCAGGAACGTTCCGGTGAGTGCCTGGGGAGACTTGAGACGCGACAGGTGAGGAAGGATGAAAGGATGCGTCTTTTCGGCGTAGCAGATCCATCCTGGACACGCAGAAGACAAGATAGGGCGTTTCGGTGACGACGATCCAGGGGTGTCTGAGGTTGCAGCCAATGAGTCGCTGACCTCGTCAGCGGTGAGAGATAGAACGGCTTCCCTCATTACATTGGTGTCGACTACCCATGTGAAACCGCTGTTCTTCGCTCCTCCAGCCCGTAAACCCTGCGGACCACTCAAGAATTGGTGAATCATGTTATCTGCATCCTTCTCTGCTATTCCGTAGGTCGCCGCCAGGCTCGCCCTCACTTGCGGACTGACACTCGCAACGAATATCCGACCCTCGCCATCATGAGCGTCATCGCCACTTAGCGATAGTTCGGGATATGTATCGAGAGTGTTGAGGACCTCGGCGTGTGACTGCAACGAGATGAGCACTGCCTCGGCAGATGTGACACATCCAGAGCAGGCGAGGCAGTCTGTCAAAGAGATCTGAGCCGGAGGGAGGTTTTCAGGTTGAACCTTGTCTTCTTTGGTCACTTCATAAGGATTCTATACAATTAGAAATTAGAGGCCTGTTATTGGACAAAGTGGGGCGGAGGAGGGAAGGAGGAAGTTATTGCTCGCGCACGTACATCTGAGTTTGACTCCTCCTTCTTTGGAAGGGTTTCGACTGGCTTAATGCATGCGACACCAGGGGAAATAAAATCGTTGAGGTCGTCTGCAGAGAGAATTGCACTCATCGTGGCAGACGCCGGAGGCCGATGCAGTAGACTGGGACTGATAGAGGGATCAGCAGCTCGTAGGGATTCAAGCGAGCGCTTTGTGAATTGAGTGTGAAGTCACAGAAAGGCGCGCAGTAAGCCTGGTGTAAGCAGCAAATGAAAGAGGGAATGTTTAGAATACTTGCAGAGGGAAAGATCTCGAATTGAAGGTAATTGTGATAGTTGGAATCAATGCTTTGTCATCGTGGCGACGGAACCGCATTTGTATGGCGGATGAGATTGAAGTGGCTGCCCCGCGATCGGCGAAGATAAGCTCACCGCTTGCTGCTTCAGTCTAATCTTATCGCGTCCCTGATCATTCTGCCGGCCCACCGGACACGAGGCACCAACCGGTTGAACGCGCCTTCCTTGCTGCCTAGGAGCATGATTGTATAATACATAGAAATCGTTTACACAGAGGGGTTGCCAATACCTCTGTCTGGTCTCATTGAACCTTTACAAGACCTTAGAACCAATTCTCGAATGACGCCAAACCGGATTACTGATTATTTTCGGCCGGTGAGCGGAAGGCGGAAGCGGCCGCGTGCAGGAGCACAACATCCGGGGCGAGGCCAAAGAGAGAAGTTAAGATTGGTCGCAAAAGAAACAAATGCATTGCTCCCTAAGATTTTGTCTACACGTCCCGACGCTCCTCCTATCGGGCAAATATGTCACGGCTCCAGATATGAAGCCCTTGACCCTAGGTTCAGCCCGAGGCTGACAACCCAGGTGGAAATACTGCTCGGCGATACTTTCGATATGGCTACTGCACTGGGTCCTTCTTTATACCCCTATAATCAAAACAACGCAGAGCACGTTTGTATTCTCAATATGGCCAATGCAAACAGGCCCGGTGGAGGATGGCTCAACGGGGCCCTTGCCCAAGAAGAGGCACTCTGCTACCGGAGCAGCTTAAGCTCAACACTTAAATATCGCTACTACCCCCTGCGATTCCTCGGCGCTGTTTATTCACCATCCGTCCTCGTCTTCCGAGAGAGCATTGACAAAGGCCATGAGCTGATGGACTTGGAAAAGCCCGACCTTTTCCCGGTGGTGAGCGTGATTAGCGTGGCTGCTATTCAAGACCCAGAACTAGACCACCAATACGACCCGCCGAGGTACAAGAGCCTGCGCGATCGCGAGGGAATGAAGTTGAAAATGAGATTAATTCTTCGAATCGCCGCGTATAAAAAACACCGCAGGCTTGTGCTAGGGGCTCTGGGTTGTGGAGCCTTTGGAAACCCGAACGCCGAGGTTGCTGATTGCTGGGCCGAAGTTTTGCGGGAGAAAGAGTTTCAAGGCTGGTGGGATAAGATCGTATTCGCAATCCTAGACGATGCAAAGACAATTGCGCAGGGGAACGGGAATTTCGATGTCTTCAGAGACAAGCTTCATGGACTGACGATATAAGCGTTCGCGCAGCAAGAAATCGAGACCAGAGGTATAACATGTCCAGGTCGAATTTCATCTTGAAATCGTCACATTATAGTTATATTTGACAAGGTGGCGACAATAAACAGGAAAGCCCCCACATGGAATCACTTCCTCACCCTTGTTGAGCGCCGTCTGGTTGTGGTTGTTGATTCCGACGGCTTGGTTTCCTCCTCATCTTCGGTTTTGATGGCTTTTTTGTTCTCTCTCTTGGAGCTAGCTTTTCTTGGCTTGGATTCGTCTTCGCTCACTGGTGCTTCATCCTCTTCCTTCACGACTGGGTCTCTCTTTCGCTTCGAGTTGCTGCCACTATCGCTGTCAACTTCCTTTGCCACTGGACCGGTCTTCTTCTGTACGCTGGGAACCACAGCACTTGTTCTACCCCCAACGGTGAGGAAAGTGATCTTCTCTCCGTTGGGCAGGACAGATGGAACATTCTTCTTGCCCTTACTCCATCGATGCTTAAACAACCAATGCTCCGGAAATCTCTCGGAGTCCGCTAGCATTTCCACTGAAGTCGAGCAGACATAGTGCATAGCGGTGTGGAGCCCCTTGATCTGGTCATCATTCAGGGTGTTGCTATACTGCTCTGGGTGTATCTTTGCGTGATACAAGATTTCATCACTAGAGCTAGTTTAGTCATCGAATGTACTTAGGAGCTAAAAGGACAATGGACATACCCCATCCAGTTCCCAATTCCGCTAATGTTCGCCTGATCGAGCAGAAGGGCCTTGACGGGAACCTTCTTGCTCCTTAGTTTCTTTGCAAGCCACTCCTCCGTGACAGTATCCTTATCAGCAACCGGATCCGGACCGTTCTCTTTCAATGGGCTATGCTTGCGAATTTCTTCGGCGGGACAATCGACGAGCCGTATGCGAGCTAGTCGACGAGGATCCACAAAGGCCGCCTCTGCCTTGGGATCACCGTCGGTTTCCACCAAGAACTTCCAGTACTTGGGCGGCCACTCTTTGTCCTCTGGTTTATCGGTACGATAGTAGTATGTGTCGGCATCACGGATTTTGAGCCAGCCAGCCATGCCGAAATGCATTACCGCATGGGGCGGCGTCGACATGGTAATCCAGAAATACTTGCCCTGCTGTCCGGCCCCAACGACCTTCTTTCCTTCCATTGCCTTCTGAAATTCAGCGGCAGTGGTTCCGACTTTTCCGTAGACGATGTCATCATGTTGGGCAGACACTTTCGTCAGAGTCTTGCCGACCAGATGGTGGCGTATGAAGTGGACGATACGCGAAACCTCCGCTAGCTCGGGCATTGCGGAAAGATGGGGTGTATGTCAACAAATTGGGCGTGTACAAGATTTCGAATCCCCGTGATTAACACAAATGAAGCTTCAGAGGAGATTTTCCGGACTGAAAGTGAATTGCATTAGTTCGACTTGGAAGGAATCCCTCGTCAGGCGAAAGTGTCGCCGCAACACGCGTCGAGGAATCACGTAGTCCCGTGATTTGAGATTGCTAACCGTTTCCGGCAGTAAGCTGCTTCTGAAGTGCTGATGGTCTGGACGGCATGCGGGCCGGCCCTCATGCGCATTATTCCCACTTCATCGCTTCAGGTCCTAGCTAATCCTCACGCATATCTGCTCCTAATACACTTTGGACTACTCTCAAACTATCGTCAAAGGAGTTTGCAACCACCTCAAAAACTTCCTCGGCCTCTGACAAAAATCCAGCGATACTCTCTTCTCGCTGATCGACTTGCCGCCAACAGACGGGATTGCCACCCACAGCCGGTTTGAACCGCATTCTCAACATACAAAGTGGATTTATTCTGGGCCGAGAAACGTGCGTTGGACGGGGAGGCAGGGAAAGCAGAGGGTCAGAAAATGTCTCACCAAACTTCAACCGCGGCCCCTGCGTTAAGCCCCAAGTTTTGTTTCAATGAAAGGGCACTCCGAGGTATGTAGACTCCCGTCGCCACGAGAGCGTGCAATGTCACAAACAGGCGCTGACGAAGGTCTCCATTGGTAATTAGAATTCTTGCGCCTCTCACGATCGACGATAGACGACTCGATCACGCAAAATCTCAATGCATTGTATACTCCGGCGCGGGACGGTTTCGACCCCTCCTCAACGGCCGCCCGCCAGATAGACCCCACGGCGGAGCGAACGATCGATCCGCCAGCCTGCGAAGGCTTCAAGAATAAAGTGTTGTTCCCGTCATGGCAGGCGCGGTCAGATGTGCTCAGTTATTGCGCTGGTGTAGCAACGAGCCCTGATCCGGAAGACCCGGACCTTCTCCTGCGGGAAATCGAGTCGGCTAAGGACCGCGAGCGAGTGGTTGACGAAAGACTCGATCCTTACTCTGCGCGGTTCTTCCCTCGCGAACCACGCACGGAATCCCTAGCATACCTCGTTCGGTATCAAAGAAGCGTTGAGGATATCATTCGCGCGCGGACTTGGGGTCTTGTGACGGAGCGATGCGAAAGCTCATCAGAGAGCTGGGAAGAAGCGCTGAACAAGTGGCGCGAAACCAAACAACGACCAGTGAGGGACTTGTAAGATTATCCTTGGTTTCAGGGTCGATGGAGTCTCGCTTGGAAGTCTTCTACTTTGGAAGGTCGGGTCGATTCCGGCCAGCACAAGCGGTCATTTGACCATTTTGACTAGTTATGTATGTAAATGACCATGTAACAGTAGCATTCAACGGCGTTCTTCACTCTTTCAGCTTCCTTCCACTGAGTAAACCTAGCATAGTGAATAGACAGGCTGTCTGCGCAGAGTTGCATATGCATGCAAGAGCCGCTTCGGATCACCATTTTGACTAATACCGGGCAGCCTTCGACGGAAGACGGCGGTCGGGAAAGAACTTTGCGAATAAATACAGCTTATTTGTAGCGTCCTCAATAGAAATTACTCAACTCAAAAAACCCCAGATTGTTCATTGTTGTTTGCCGTTCTTCTTGTGATATTTCCTGTCAAAAGTTCTTGTTGTAAAATCGGTCAGAGCTTATCGCTGCCTCAGCAATCATCAATCGTCATTCCACCCTTTACTACGGAGTATCGAGTCCCGTCCCTCTTTCTGTCTCTCTCCCCTCCCCGCGCACGACCACCGCCCAGCTTCCGTCTTCCGCACACAGTCATCTGGCAAGTCCGCAAGTCTTTGCACTGCACCTTCCACCTGTCACCCACACGCACCATGCCACAACCATTGAGCTCCAAGGATGCGGCCTTGTTCCGCCAAGTGGTCCGTCATTATGAAAACAAGCAACATAAGAAAGGTGCGTTCTGCAAATCCCTCCACAATGAACACGCTTGTTACTTTCGCAAGTGGGTAGCAGGGACTCCAGTGCAAAACAGCTAACGCCAATGCTCGCATCGCACAACAGGCATCAAAACCGCCGAACAAATCCTGAAGAAGAATCCCAACCATGGCGATACCTTGGCGATGAAGGCTCTGATCATGAGCAACATCGGCCAGTTGGAGGAAGCTTTCGTGCTGGCCAAGGAGGCCCTGAAGAACGACATGAGGTCGCATATCTGCTGGCACGTCTACGGGTTGCTGTACCGTGCGGAGAAGAACTACGAGGAGGCGATCAAGGCATACCGCTTTGCCCTGAGGATCGAGCCCGAGTCGCAGCCCATCCAGCGGGATCTTGCGCTCCTCCAGATGCAGATGCGGGATTACCAGGGCTACATACAGAGCCGGACGACCATGCTGCAGGCCCGCCCCGGCTTCCGACAGAACTGGACCGCCCTGGCGATCGCACACCACCTCTCCGGCGATCTCGAGGAGGCCGAGAAGGTACTCACGACGTACGAGGAAACGCTGAAGACCCCGCCGCCCACCTCTGACATGGAGCACTCCGAGGCCATTCTGTACAAGAACACAATCATGGCCGAGGCCGGCAAGCTGGAGCAGGCATTAGAGCATCTGGAGAAGTTCGGTCGCAGATGTGCCGATGTGCAGGCTGTGCTGGAAATGAAGGCGGACTACCTCTTGCGCCTGGACCGCAAGGCCGAGGCTGAGGCCGCTTACACTACTCTTTTGGAGCGGAACCCTGAGAACTCGATCTACTACGATGCTTTGATCCGGGCCAAGGGTCTTTCCAAGGACGATCCCAAGGCTTTGAAGGCCTTGTACGATTCCTGGGTGGAGAAGGCCCCCCGTGGTGACGCTGCTCGCCGGATCCCTCTGGACTTCCTCGAGGGAGACGACTTCAAGCAGGCTGCCGATGCCTATTTGCAGCGCTCGCTCAAGAAGGGCGTCCCCTCGCTCTTTGCCAACATCAAGGCTCTCTATACCGACGTGGCTAAGCGGGATACTGTTCAGGAGCTGGTTGAGGGTTACGTCTCGACCCCTCAGTCCAACGGTTCTGCTGAGGGTCAGGCCGACAGCGACAACACCGAATTCCTTTCTTCTTCCCACTACTTCCTCGCCCAGCACTACAACTACCACCTCAGCCGCGACTTGACCAAGGCGATGGAGCATGTCGACAAGGCTATTGAACTGTCGCCCAAGGCCGTGGAATACCAGATGACCAAGGCGCGGATCTGGAAGCACCACGGCAACCTCGAGAAGGCCGCCGAGGAGATGGAGAAGGCCCGTCTGCTGGACGAGAAGGACCGTTACATCAACTCCAAGGCTGCCAAGTATCAACTTCGCAACAACGACAACGAGAAGGGTCTTGACAACATGAGCAAGTTCACCCGGAACGAGACTGTTGGAGGCGCTCTTGGCGATCTGCATGAGATGCAATGTGTGTGGTATCTGACGGAGGATGGCGAGGCCTACCTGCGCCAGAAGAAGCTTGGCCTTGCTCTCAAGCGCTTCCACGCCCTTTACAACATCTTCGACACCTGGCAAGAAGACCAGTTCGATTTCCACAGCTTCTCGCTGCGGAAGGGCATGATCCGCGCGTACGTGGACATGGTCCGTTGGGAGGACCGCCTGCGCGAGCACCCCTTCTACACCCGTGTGGCTTTCTCGGCCATCAAGTCATACCTCCTCCTGCACGACCAGCCGGATCTGGCCCATGGACCTATGGCTACCAACGGGGTCGGAGAGGATGAGAACGAGCGCAAGAAGGCCCTCAAGAAGGCCAAGAAGGAGCAGCAGCGCCTGGAGAAGCTGGAAGCCGAGAAGCGCGAGGCAAGAAAGGCGGCCAGCACCGGCAAGAGCGCCGACGGAGACGTCAAGAAGGAGGACCCTGATCCGCTTGGCACCAAGCTGGTCGCGACCCAGGACCCGCTTAAGGAGGCGATGAAGTTCTTGACTCCCTTGTTGGAGCTCAGTCCCAAGAGCATTGAGGCTCAGACTCTCGGATTCGAGGTTTACCTTAGAAGAGGTATGTCCATCGCCTTGCAATTTGCTACCATCACCCCTGCTAATTTCATCCTCGATTAGGTAAATATGCGCTCGCCCTCAAGTGTCTGACTGCCGCCCACTCGATCGACGCCGCCAACCCCACTCTCCACGTTCAAATCCTCCGACTCCGCAAAGCTCTGGACAACTTGTCCGAGCCCCTTCCTTCTGAGGTGGCTGAGGCCATCAACGCCGAATTCGAGGCCTTGCTCCCTAAATCGACGAACCTGGACGAGTGGAACGAGTCCTTCATTTCCACCCACAAGGACAGTGTCCCTCAAGTCCAGGCAGGTCTCACCAGCCGGCAGCTCCTGAAGCCCGACACCAAGTCGCAATGTGAACAAGAGCTCACAGCCACCCTTGACTCGGACGACATCACCATCGATACCGCGCTCACCGGCCTGGAATTGCTGACCGCGTGGGGCAGCGACCAGGCTGCCAAGACCGCCTACGCTCAGAAGGCCAGCAGCAAATGGCCTGAGTCATCGGTGTTTCGTCTGGAGTAAAGGATGAAGTGAAATGAAAAATGGAAAATGCGTTGGATGGGTAGAACACTGTAACACGATACCGGCTCAAGCAACCAGGGCTTGTTGTGTGTGATCTCTTAAGAACTGGATATTTACTTCCTTTTTTTGTTTCTGGTGATTAGCCTGGGTATAGCTATTGCAGTTGCGTGTTTGAAGTATACCTTGTTTGCATGGTATGGGAACGCGTAGAAGAGCGAGAGGGGGGGGCAACTTTAGCTAGACGTTATAAAAGACTTTCAAAATTTCTAAGGGGTGTATCACTAGGGCTGATTGTTCGAATTTCGTTATGGTAGCTTACTTGCTCTAGCTATATGTTCGAGAATACCAACTGATGTGAAGCAATTACTCAAGACGGTTTGCGAGGCTTGAGGCAGAGAGCTTCTTCTCTAATATACTTTAGAAACCCGCAAAAGAATATTTACACAACAAGAAGCCTGCACAACCAAAACACCTCTAGATTGGAATAATATACACCTCTAAATACGACCAGAAATGGCAAGAAAGATAGAAATACAAACCAAGAGCAGCGACGGTTCCTTTTCCCATGCAGAAACAAAACAAAAGCAAATGACATATCATATCAACAAGGACGACAGCCCTTTCCCACAAGAGGCCTATCATAACAACCTCAACCTCAACAAAACTCTAACTATATACTTGTGTCAAAACAAACCCCCAAAACCTCCCCTTCTATATTCTATACCGATATAGGAAATCCATTCTCGCGGCAAGGATCGGTTATGCACTTGAATTCCCTACTCCCCATCCTCATTGTCCAGGTTTCCCAGAATCGGTCTCCGCTGGAGGGTGGCCTCGTCCTCGCCGTAGCCGTACTTCACCCACAGGCGCTGCCACACGGGCACGGGGGCGGGCCGCTCCTCGCCGCGGATGTATTCTTCACCGCTGGCGATGCGGGTCGCCCGGCTTTCTTCCTCGGGGGACACGATGTAGCGGTGCATGCGGGAGGCGAGGCGCGGGTCCAGTACGATGGGATCGAGCCATTCGCGCTCCTTGTCGGGTTGGGTTTCGTCCGTGCGGTGGACGGATTTGTGCCAGTCGCGTTCGGCGGTGGCGAGGATGGTTTGTTGCTCGGGGATCGGGGTGGGGTCGGAGCTTGGGGTGAGGGATTCGGAGGAGTCAGGTGTGGTTTCGGTGTATGGGCGGCTGGAGGAGGCGAGGACCAGGGCCGCGACGTCGCGGCCGATCTCGTCGGCGAGGTGGCGGCGGTTCAGGTAGCGGTAGATGCGGATCGGGGTGTTGAGGAAGCCCAGGAGGTGGGGGAAGGCGATGGGCACGGAGCCGTCGAGGGTGGCGGGGAGGGTCGGCGGGAGGGGTTGCAGGTCGTAGGCGCTGGTGGGGAGGTAGGTTGGGGTCGGACCGGTGGGTTTCTTCTTCTTCTCTTCCTCTTTCTTTGGCTCTTCGGAGGGCGTGGTGTCTTCTTGCTTCTCGGGGGTTTCGGGGGCTCCGTCTTCGGGAGCCGGGGAGGAGGGTGGTTGTTGTGGTTGTTGTTCGTCTTCGGTGGGTGCAGGAGGGGGGTCCAGAGGGCCGAGCCAGCCCTCGTGCAGACCCCGGATGTACTCCTTCCAGGTGTGTCGGCCGATCACCAGATCGCCCTTGGGGCCCGGTTCGTCCGTGATGCCGAGATGCGTGCGCGTGTCGTAGACGACGCCCTCGACGCTGGGCTCCTCGACGACGGAGCTGGGCTCGCCCGCGCGGCGTCGCGTCTTGCGGATCTGCTCGGCCAGGCCTGCGCGCACCTCGCCCTCGCGCCGGCCCTCGATGACCTGGTAGTCGACCGCCGCGGCGACGAGGATCGGCTTGACGTATTCCTTGAAGTGGTCGCGGGCGACCCGGAGCCCGTCCCCGGGCGGTGCGGCCAGGAAGACGGTGATCTTGCGGCGCATCTGCTCCACGGGCAGCGTCTCCTTGGAAAGGTGCGCCACCAGGTCACACCATTTCTGCTGGGCGCGGCGTTTCTCTCGACGGTCGTAGATCAGGGCCGCGGTGAACGAGCCGGTGATGGTCCAGAAGATCATCCAGTTTCGGGAGGGGAGGCGGAATTTGATGTTGGGGAGACCTGGAAGTCCGTTTGTTAGTTTGTACGATTTCATGATTTAGAAGGCATTGGGAAAGGGCGAGGTGCCATACCCATCATCCTGAAGGCAGGGTTGACAGGCTTGGAGGCGGGCTTCGAGGCCGCGGACTGAGCGGGCCCTGCAGTCTCCGCGGGTTTGGGGTTGGAGGAGTCTGCCATGATGGTCGGGGTATTCGATTGTCCGGAAAAGTCCTCAGGGTGTAATGGACGGAGGAGTGAACACAGAGGAAGATCAACTTCCTCGTAATTAGGTGGTGATTCCCGAGGTCAAGAATCTACTACTATGGCGGAGGCCCGAAAAAGTTCGGGGATGCACGCTACAGCTCCGTCGGATCCACGTTGATCCGTCCGGGGGCGAGAGAGTGTCTCAGTATACCCATGTTTGTTTGTACAGTACACAACCATAGTGCTCGGCAAGCAATGATGCTCTTAATTATAGGACTATAGGTAGCTTAACTTGTATAGCTGATGGATACACTAGACAGCCTGATTACTGGCTGTGTCTTGTATCTCCTCCGACCACCTTTGGTCACATGTGCGAGCAGAGCAGAGGGCTTCTGGGGATGTACTGTATACCCAGTCCCTTGATCCGAATGGCCCTGGAAGGCAGAAACAATCATCCCGGATGGAAACTTAATCACTGGATGATCGGAGGATCGGTGTCTTCGCCTGATAGGGATAGTGAAACCACGCAACTAGAGACCCTGGCATACCGTAGCGAGCGAGTCTGGCCCTATTAGTGTCGGTCTTGGTGATGGATGCTCTCTAGATTGTTTCAGATCGATCCAGTCCTGTTTGAGATGCTGTTGTTGCATGCCAGCCTCAATTCTGTTGTATCTGGCTACTCTGGGAATGTAGAGGATAATGATATGATTTATGAAAAGAAACAATATCTATATAACAAATATCCAGAAACTTAATTTCAAGATCGATACTTTGTTTTAAGCTTTAGTTTAAAGCTTTTGTATAATTTTTTTTGCTTTATTATTACTTTTTATATTAGTCATATATACTAAGTTAGTTATATTGATTGTAATATTGGTTTCTATTCTTTATAACTAGATTCAAGACCCAGGATAATCCTAAGTGGCAATCCCATTCTTGCCCGCATTGGACAGATTTTAGATGGCTGGTATTCACAATCTTTCTCACGTACCGATCATATAGGGTCTGTAGGAATAGCTAAGTCGATTTGACTAGACCTTGTGTAAAGTGATTGTTACTCCAAGTTCTTAAGGGCTAAGACGGAAAGAGGGTGGGTTGGGGTAAGGTATAGTACCGGCAGAATTCGGGGGTTATTGCAGATTGGCACGAGTAGTCCACCGTACAATCCTACCATCGCCTTTTCCCCGAGGTTGGCTGGTCACGCACCCCAGTGCACCCTTACGTCCAGCTTTATGCATTTCGCCAAAGCTCTATACTTTACCTGAAATACCACGCTCTGCGCGAATGAACGTTATCTAATGGCTCAATGTCGCAAAAACCGCGAAAGCTTCAGCGCGTCTCCATGGCCTGTAGGTTCCTCAAAGTTCGATCACTTTGTTCTGGTCTTCTCCACTCCATATTGTGGCGCCCCGAAACCCCGGGCATGATGCCTGCATTTACTAAGTATTAACCTAACGCAGGCGACTTTTGCAACAGACGCAGCATTAAATGCAGACAGAGCGAGGACCCCTTAGGGCGCTGTCAAAACTGTGTGGACTTCGATGTGCCGTGCACCTTTGACCGTCCTTCAAATCGCCGGGGCGTCAAGGCTGGCACTCGCGCGAGTGGTCGCGATCCTCAGTTTGTAAGAACCTCCGTCAATCATACTAATCTTACAGCAGCAGCGACTGCAAGTGGTAGAAAAGCCTCCGGCTCCTCAACTTCTCGCAGTCCGCACCGCGCATCGATCTCCGCTGATCCCTGGTCTACCTTTAACCATGGCTGGTCAGCAGCCGAGGGAGATGACGATAGTGGACTGCTGCACAATTCTTGGAAAGCATTTGCGATTGCCTGTGACCGCCAAATAAGGAATCTAGTCCAGATTTATTCAGAGATCGTCTATCCAATGTATGATGTGTCCGTAACACTCGCCGACTGCATTGACTGAACATATTCCCACTAGATTTCCCTTGTTTCACATGCCGTCATTCATAGAGCAAGTCAACAGCAAGCAGCATCTTTGCAATCAAGGACTCTTCGCCTCTACGATGGCTGCCTGCTCTCTGGTCGCCGGTCGCGCACGTGATGGTGCGTTGTACTCTAATCGATGGGACCGAGAAGAGCTGATAGACCCACCCTCCGAGGCTTTTTTTATAGCTGCTCGGGACTCGATTCCTCGAGACCTTGTCGCAGCCAAAGGTATTCATTATATGCGGGCGTGTGCCATACTGGCTATCGCCAGCATTCAAAACGGCCAGATTAAAGATATGCAGAAGTATTCCGGCTTATACCATACCTTGGCTTCGATGGATGGCCTTTATGATGAAAAACTGTGGCCAAAGGACTTGCGTACAGTTGAGACGGAGGAGCGGCGGCGTCTTGTACGAAATATATCTTTTATCTGATGTCGCCTTACTGACTATGACGTTAGTTCTGGTCCATATATACGCTCGACATCTATTCGACCATTGTGTGGGGTGGCGTTATTCGATATCGTGAAGCTCATTCTTTAGTGCGATATCCTAGCGAAGTAGACGACGAATTCATAACAGACCGCGGCTATGGCGTGCCGTCCGTCTCCCCAGGATCCAATTCGCTTCTAACAAGTAACGTAACTGTCGTCTCCCGCCAGCCTACGCCCTGGATGCGTGGTTGGAACTTTACCACGGACCTTTACCGTATTCTTGAGCATATAGTCGATCGCAATAGACGCCGCTTCTCTTCGGCTAACGGAACGACACAAGTTTGGTCACTGTTTAACGCTTCATCCATGTCAGAGCTGGCTATCATGGATCAGGTCCTCGCTATGTACTCAGCTCTTCCGTCACAGTTTCGAGAAACGCCGCCCACTACAGGAGATATGTCCAAGGATTTATTCGGGTTCCAGTCAGCCAACATTCAGGCGACTCTACAACTCCTTCGGATGTTGCTTTTGTCGACCGAAGAAATAGGGGTGGAGCGGAAATGCGATGTAGCGGGTGAACTGCTGAGCGTTTTTTCGAATGTGCCCATCGAGTACTTGAAAGCTATCAGCTCCCCTTTGGTATGTGCAATGTCCATACTTATCTGAAATGTGTACTGACAAGTCCCAGCTCCACCACCTCGGCGGAATTGGCTACATTCTTGGCTCTGTCATGGAAGGGGATTTGTCACAAGTATCTTACATGCGAGCTCGCACATTATTGTATGAGATCTTGATCTGATGGTAGCCTCTTGAGTTCTAGCTGATATATCTGCATACAGGCTTGAAATGGCAGATCTCTTGGAGCGTCTTGAAATGGGTTCACATCGTGCCTCCGGTGCCGGCGAACGACTACGGTCCCAGGTCGATCGAATAGACAGCTACATGCGTACCTCACTTCTCCTGGATCTAACTTCTTCAAGTGACGTGACGCAAGTAATTGACGCAAATCCCGAACTTGCTGTCACGTCAGCGTATACACAGGGCACCGACCCCGTCGCAGCCTCGCCTGGTGCTGGTCTCGACCAGATGTCCCAGTTTCAGCTGCCACCAGAACTCCTCTCAGATTGGCCATGGCCGATGGCTTATCACAATGCAGAGGGGTTTCTGCCTCCGGCGTTCGAGTAATTTCATGTATCATCGGTTGAAAAGGGAGGGAATCTGCATCCACAACAAATAGGCGCAACATAATGCGGCTGTACTTGATTATCCACTATGCAATTATCATGGCAAATCGTATGGTTGTACGATGAGGTTTGAGACAAGCACAGTCTGTCCCAGATGTTTTACCCTTTGGGCTTCAAACCCCTTCAATAAAGTTACCCGGCCCGCATCTCGATTCATTGCATTTTAGCATAATTTAAAACCTCTCAGCGTTTATGGTACGAAGCATCCGATCACTTCGTTCGACGGTGGTGCTTGGATCTGACTCTTCTAAAGAAGGAAGCGGAACTTATCCTGATTGTAGGTTCGACGTCCTCTACTGTCCCTTGTTCCTTGGCTAAATACTACTGCCGGGCCTGCCACTCTGGGTCGTGGCTGGGATGTGACGGATACTGGAACTAGACCGCATCCTGGCCAGCGCAGCGCGGTAACCAGCACTTCTACCCGGAAAATCTAGTGTCCGGATCACCATAGGTGTTAAGTCCAGGTCGAGCGTCGAACAAGCGCGCCCAATCCATTCCGTCTGAGCTGGCTTGATGCTGGCACTATCGAGGGGAGACACTGGACACGCTGGACACACTGCTCGCCGTGATGAAGTTGATCGTGCGTGCAAGATTAGGGAATAAAAGAGCTGAAGAAAAAAAAAAAAAAGAAAAAAAAGCTTATTTAGCTTGACTAGGGTAAATTGTGCTATGAATGTGTTTTCCTCAAATCACCCTTATCGCCATTTCAGAAATCTCGCGTAACAAAACTGGAATAATACTCAGAAAAGCATTCGCTGGCTGCCGTACTCATTAATCCTATATTCAAACATGAAAACCCCCATTTATAAATGCACCTAAGCGATCCCATGAAAAACGTGCAGTGATTATAGGGGATTTCCCTCAGAAACTCCTATTTACCACTTATTGCTGAAAATCTTGCCATTGACATAGTTGACCAGCTCCTTCACCGGGGAGAGATGGTCGCGACCAGCACCAAAGAGCATACCTTGGCGCATGACCTTGCGGTAATTCTTTCCCGGAGACACCTTTCCAAGAACGTATTCTTGACGAGTTTCGACACGTGTGGGGACAGGAATGGAGCGGCCCACCACGGCCTCCATACCCTGCCAGGCGAAGGTGATAGCCTCCTTAGCCCCAGCGGGGATACCGGCATCATCCAGCATCATGATTCGGGTGTTGGGATATTCTTGTTGAATAAAGGCCGTGATGTTAGGGTTATATGCGCCGCCGCCGCACATGAAGATCTCGGCAATCTCTAGGTCTTTCGGGGCATAACGGCGGTAGTGGTCGACAATAGCCTGGGCCGTAACACGGGTGATCGTAGCGACCACATCATCCGGGCTAAGACCCTTTGCCTCCGCCCTAGTGATGAATTCATGCGCGATCGTGTCACGGAAAACCTCGCGGCCGGTAGTTTTAGGCGGGTCAAGGGCAAAGTACGGGTGGCGGAGGAAGTCGTCGACGAGCTCCTGGTCGACTGTACCGCGCGCACCCATCTCGCCGTCTTTGTCATACTCGCGGTCGCCGTTTGTGTAATGTCGTACCACGGCATCGATAAAGACATTTCCGGGGCCGGTATCAAAGTCGTAGCATTCGCTAACGCCACCGTGGCTGTCCGGCGGGATGAAGCACACGTTAGCGATACCGCCGATGTTCTGGCATGCACGCAACTTAGTCGGGTGGTGTAGAAGGAGTGCGTCAAAAAATGCAATGAGCGGAGCGCCCTGGCGTCCAGCAGCTTGGTCGCTCACGCGAAAGTCCGTCACTGAGGTGATACCGGTGCGCGAGGCCAGGAATGAGCCCTCGGCCATCGTTAGTGCGCTTCGAGTCTCGCCTGGCTCGGGCATGGAAAGCAACCAGATCGTCTGGCCGTGAGAGCCTAAAACGTCGATCGAGTCGATATTGATGTCGTAGTCCTTGCAGAACTGGTGCACTGCCGACGCAAACGTCTCGCCTAGGATGACGTTCACTTCTGACAACTCAGACGGAGAGGTTTGGTTATGCAGGATCATGTTCATCACCCGCTTCTTGATCACGGGTTCTAGAGGGATCTCTCCATACTGCATCCAATGTTAGTTGTATTCTATAAAAATGGTAAGATATATTTACCTTCAAGAGCTCAAAGTGCATCGCCGATTCTGGAGTCTCCTGACGGAAGTGGCAGAGGGCACAATCGATGCCATCCTTCGTTCATCGTGAGATTCATCTTCGTTTTTGTTAGGAGCAAGCTAGAGCACTCACCATCGACGTCCCGCTGTTTAAACCAAGGACGGTCAGATCCAAGACTGGGGCGCTAGTGCTGTTCGCCATTTCTGAAGTCAAACTTGATTGGCACAAGAGGGTCAAATGATTCTATTCTGGAGTGTATGCAGAGAGTCGTGAGAGAGGACTTGATTGTATTTAACGAGAGCCAGAGTCCCATCGCTGACGAAAGGATGGAGAACACCTGCCAGTGTATTACATAGTTGGTCTCCATCCAGCCCTAACGCCAAAATTGCTAACCGGCTAAATGGGAAAACGGCAACACGCTTACTTCCTCCCCCCATTGCCACTATAAGGCCGAGTAAATGCCGAGGACGATAAAACAGACACAAACTTTAGCATCTTCTACAACACGGCTGCACGCTTAAATCAGCAATTCAGATCTATCGGAGACGAATCCATCATTTGATATAGACTGGATCTCCAACCAGCCTTAAAGTCAGTAAAGCTAAATGGCCGGCTAAATGGGAAAACAACAACACGCTTACTTCTTCTCCGCGCCATCGCCACGGTATGGCCGAGTGAAAGCCGAGGGAGAGAAGCTTAAACTTTAACATCTTCCATAACACGGCTACGTGCTTAATGAAAGATAGATATCATTCGCCTCGCTTCCCCAGTATTACCCTCATAACATCCTACGGGGGCGACACGGCTACGCGCTTAAATGAAAGTTAGAACATTATTTCCCCGCGCTTCTCCAGGATTACCCCCATACGGATCACGGATCTAGCGGGGCGATTCTTCCACTATATATAAAGTCGCTAAACTCCGATCGTTTTGATGTTGGCATAGGACAAGCTTCAAGCAATCACAAGACATGGGTTATAGGACTATGTGGAAGCGGCTCTCGCCGCGGCAGCTCAATGCCACCATCCAGGTGTTCTCGCTCATCTCTATATTCTTCGAAGGCTATGACCAAGGCGTCATGGGCGGCGTTAATTCCGCGCCCAAATACGTGACCGAGGTCGGCATTGGGAAGCCGGATGGCACCGTGACAGACACCACGCACCAGGGCGGCATTGTCAGTGTCTATTATCTGGGTGCCATCTTTGGCTGCTTTGCTGGAGGGTGGTTGGCTGACCGAGTTGGTCGAATCAACGGCCTGCTGGCGGGAGCGTTGTTTGCCTTGGTTGGCGGCGCATTACAGGCTGCCGCTCAGAATTCAGACTTTATGATCTGCGCTCGAGTGCTGACGGGCATTGGTACAGGAGGTAAGCTCTTTATACGGTGTCTGATCCTTCGAAACTTGTTCTGACTGGTTTTCTTGCAGCCTTAACTGGTATTACCCCTGTCTTGGTGTCGGAAACCTCTTCTGCAGATCACCGCGGTGGGTTCCTGGGATACGTCTTCATTGCCAACTGTAAGCAGATCCGGAGACCCTTTATTGCGACTACTTTCTAATACCTTCCAGATCTCGGTATATCAGTTGCATACTGGATATCCTTTGGCCTCGCCTTCATCGATAACGGATACTCGGACGTGCGATGGAGGTTCTTACTTGCCTTTCAATGTTTCCCAGCCCTAATACTAGCCTGCTTCATCAAGATGCTGCCTGACAGTCCCCGGTATCTGGCTTCAGTTGGTCGGAATGAAGAGGCGCATGAGCTGTTGGAGCATATTCGCAAGCACAGGGCCAGTCCAGAAGAGATTGATCGTGAATACTTGGAGATCGTCACAATGGCAGAGGAAAGCCAGCGCAGCTCACCTATCCAATTTGTGAAGATCTTGCTCGGGAAGGGTGGAAGGCGGCATCCGAATTTGGGCAGGCGAGCTTGGCTGTGTGTCTGGCTTCAGATCATGGCCTCCTGGACAGGCATCACGGTAGGTGTATCCCGGTTAGCATTACCCGAAAACTATCTCTAATCTCGACAAATACAGGCTGTCACTGCATATTCGCCAGTTCTCTTGCACCAGGCTGGATACAGCTCCATCAAGCAGAACGGCCTCGCTGGGGGACTCAACACGGTTGGCATCATTGGTACGATAATAAGTGCCCAAATCGTCGATCGCCTTGGTCGCCGTGTGTGTCTCATGGGTGGTGCAGCAATGCTATTTGCTGTGAATATTATCGTATGTCTATACTCTTCCGAAAATTGCTGTCTCTTTCACTAATTGGGAACCAGGCTGGAGCTGTCTACGAAGCCTCGTTGCATGACCCCAGCAAGGCTGCTCAGATTGCCCCTGCGGCTATTACCATGTTGTTCCTGTTCAATATTGGGTTAGTTTACCGTTCTCAGTATCTAGCGTGTCCTCTTGCAACTAATCTGACGTCTTCTAATAGTTATGCTGCTACGTGGGGTACTGTCGCGTTTTTGGTACCCACAGAGATATTCCCCTCTGATTTGCGAGCCCAAGGCAATGGCTTCGGCATCACTGGGTGGGCTATTGGTGTGGGTATGACCACTTTGGTTAACCCGATTATGTTCGACGCCTTGAAAGTAAGTTCAAGTCATCCTGGTTGTTGATGAAGCTGACCGCTGTCCCAGAGCCGAACCTATTTCCTCTTCGCCGCCCTTAATCTAATTTGGATCCCTATAGTTTACCTCTGTAATTCTCACTACAATAATGACATTGAAAGACCAGAGCTAATGAACGTTACAGTCTACCCCGAAACCCGTGGTCGCTCCCTGGAATCGATCGAAGCACTCTTTTCCACCAAGAGTCCCTTCTACTGGAAGATGGAACAGGCGTATAATCTGCACGGTGATGTCTTACTGGAACACGGAGTCAGTGGAAATGACGGCCTCGATGCTGCCAGGAATAAGTCGACATCATATGAGAAACCGGAGCAGGAGATCATTGTTTGAGGCCCCGAATCTTATGTATATCTTGGGGCATTCTTTTTTCGTTGAGTCAAGTAAGGTGCGGAGCTCTTAACAAGGATGAAGCTGACATAGTGGGTTGAGTCCGGAGTGACTGATTCTTGAGGTTAGCAAGCTTCCATCGCGATCAGCGGTATCCGAGCCCTGAGACCGAGCACTGCACATCACTTGTGGACTCAGTGGAGAAGGTGTTATTGTTTGGCTTATCATTCTTGATTATCGCTCAGGTTCTTCCTTATTTTTTGATGTATTATACTTATTCTATTTCTCCTTATTCTTAATTCTATTATCCAAAATATCTGTACTTGTAACATATAGCGGGTTGTTGACGGTCTACCCACGCATCTTCTGCGTCATTGTCGTGACGTCAATGACACCGGATTCCTTAGTACTTAAACCCTGCGACCTTGCTAGACCTCCTGGATAGCAAGGATGAGTTTTGCAATGAATGGACTGCTACCATTCTATACCTAACTAACCTACTTTCTCTTAACCTTAAGAGTGCAAGACACAGTACGGCGGCGGGCGCCGGCTCGGTGTCCAATTACATTAGTTTAAAAAGATTACATAACCAGTATTTGTAAGTCCAGACAAGCGCTTAAAGGAAGAATTATTTTCTTTAATATTTACTTCTTAAACAATCCAGGGTTGCTTAGAAATTGCTTAGGACATATAAGTCACTTCTGTGCTTTCTCTACGCTCCGGGCCGCTCAATAAGTAAAAAGCAGCGCCAAGTTAGATCTTAAGTAAAAACAGAAAGTTGCTGGATTTCCGCAGCAATTCAGTTCGTTAGTCAATGTAGCCACCGCTCCTTAGTTTGGATCTCATCAGCCGCCGCCCGCCCCTTAAAGTTGAAATCTCCAATCTCCCCTTCCACCCTTTCCCTTATTCTAACCGCCCCTCCGTCTCTCTCCTCTTTAGTCTAGCCCAAACTGAACTCCACACCACCACCACATCTTCCACATTCTTGACTCCTCCTCCTCCCCCCCTCCCCTCCTTCTCCCCCTCCCCCTTGGCTTTTTGCTTATCGTTCGTTTTTTCCTTTTCTCCCTTTTCTTCTCCTCGAAAACCTAACTTCTCTCCCCGCCATTCTCTGTCAATCACGGCGTATTCAGCCTCGGGGAGGACAGTTCTGCCCATCATGGATCCCAACAACAATCGTCTCCACCTGAATTTCGGGTACAATGATCGCTCCTTCAACAATCCGGCTGCCAACAATCGCGCTTATCCCACCACCCCCTCCGCATTCCCTCAACCCATTTACCAGAATCAGGGTGGCCAGGAATATGTCGATGCTCAGAACGGTGCCTATGGCCAGGGTTATTTCATGGCCAACCCCTACCAAGCCCAGGGGGCTTACGCTCAGCAGCAGCAACAGCAGCAGCAGCAACAACAACAGCAACAACACTACGGCCAGAACCTGCAGTCCTCTCAAGCCGCATACGGATCCCGCATGGGCTACAACACCAATGACGGGACGAATGGCCTGATTCAGCAGTTCTCCAACCAGGACCTGAACTCTCCGCGGTCGGGTTTCTTTGGTCGCGCAGCCTCTCCCGCTCAGCGACCCCGGACCGCTGGCTCCCCCGCCGCTGCACAACAGCTACCTGGCCACCTGGCCCCTCCCATGCCACGCAGTCCTCGGACCCCCGCCGAGAACGAAGAGCTTCAGCGCTACCCGGAGCGATACTCGGAAAATGTTCACAAGCGTGGTAAGGCAGCCAAGGAATTGGTCAGTGTGTTTTTCAATGAGAACATTGAGCGCGCGCGCGACCGCAACCTGCGGTGAGTACTCGTCTGATGTTAGTCGAACTTCGTGAAAGAGGCAATACTGACTTTGCTCGCTTTCTACAGGTCGGCGGAGCTTGATAAGATGATTCGTGACCCTGGCATCCCGAAGGATTCGAAGCGCAAGGAGGCGGAGGTGCTTGCGAAGAAGGAGTCGACTTTCTTGCGGTTCTTGCGTACCAAGGAGACTCCACAAAACTTCCAGACTATCAAGGTCATCGGAAAGGGTGCGTTCGGAGAGGTTAAGCTGGTGCAACGGAAGACCGATGGCAAGATCTATGCGCTTAAGTCGTTGATCAAGACCGAGATGTTCAAGAAGGACCAGCTGGCCCACGTCCGTGCCGAGAGAGATATCCTGGCCGACTCCAAGGACAACCCGTGGTTGGTCAAGCTGCACGCTTCCTTCCAGGACTCGGCTTACCTCTACTTGCTGATGGAGTTCTTGCCCGGTGGTGATTTGATGACTATGTTGATCAAGTATGAGATCTTCTCGGAGGACATTACTCGCTTCTACATGGCAGAAATAGTCATGGCTATCGAGGCTGTCCACAAGCTTGGTTTCCTCCACCGGTAGGTCGATTTGTTGTGTTCTGCGAAACAATGCTAACTTCCCTGCAGTGACATCAAGCCTGATAACATTCTTTTGGACCGTGGAGGTCACGTTAAGCTGACCGATTTCGGTCTCTCCACCGGCGGCAAGAAGACGCACGACAACTCATACTATCAGAACCTTCTCAAGAACTCCACGTCGAAGGACAAGAACCGCAACTCGGGATACTTCAATGACGCGATCAACCTGACTGTTTCCAACCGTGGTCAGATCAACACGTGGAGAAAGTCTCGTCGCGCTATGGCCTACTCGACCGTCGGTACACCCGATTACATTGCGCCGGAGATTTTCAACGGGCAGGGATACACTTACCTCTGTGATTGGTGGTCTGTTGGTGCTATCATGTTCGAGTGCTTGGTTGGCTGGCCGCCATTCTGCGCCGAGGACACGACCGACACCTACCGTAAGATCGTGAACTGGCGCGAATGTCTGTACTTCCCTGAGGAGCTTGTCCTCTCGCGGGAGTCGGAAGGTTTGATCAGAAGGTACGTCCGTTCTTGCTGCACTGTGAGGGTCTCTACTAACAGGCTTCAGCTTCCTGTGTGATACCGAACACCGTATTGGCAGTGAAGGCGGCCAATTCGGCGGTGCGACGCAGATTAAGAACCATCCCTTCTTCCGTGGCGTCGTTTGGGAGCAGCTGCGCAGCATTCGGGCGCCCTTCGAGCCGCGGTTGAGCTCGAACATCGACGTGTCTTATTTCCCTATCGACGAGATTCCTCAGGAGGATACCAGTGCCATCCACCGTGCGCAGGCCCGGGCCATGCCGGAAGAGCAGGAGGCGGAGATGAGCCTGCCGTTCATCGGCTACACGTACAAAGCGTTCAACGCCTTCCAGGCAAACTAAGTTATAGACGTGGATATTGCATGTTTGTTGGTGAACCCACGATAGACGTCATTGAAGAGTCCGGAAGCGGGCGGGCTTGCATTGATGGATTTTCAGTGGCGCACTCGGCATTTCGTCTCGGTATTACCACATTGTGCATCCGTTTCATCGAGCATATAGCGCATTTCATCATCTCTGTTGGTCACGACCCAGGCATATCCGTTTGATTTCATTGCATCCTTGTCGCAAGACGACGACTGCTCGCTGCTAGCCGTGTATGTAGCTAGGAATTCGAGTGACATGTGGACTTCCACGCGACTCAACGTAGTTGTATCCTTGGAGTAATTGTGAACAAGGTGGGGCTGTTATGATTCTGGGAATGCGGATGTAGATAGGAAGATCGGTAGAGCAATGACAAGCTCGATATGAATCATTGTATTGTTGCCAGTATCAGTATCCGAGTATCTAAGAATCGAGAAGCCCCTGAAAACAAAACGCCACCCAGAAGCTAGAAATGATACATGCATTTTAAGGGAAAAAGAAAAAAAAAAGACCTGGTCCACAAAACACCAGCGTCACCCGAATCCCGGAAACCAGAACACAACAAAACAAAAAAGGAAAGTGCTCAAACATTCGGCTCAACCGGTGCCAATCCCGGCACACCCGAATACCTCTCCTCGCGCTCAGTCTTGAACATAATCTGCACCCAAAACTCCTTACTATCCTCATCGAACCACGTCCAATACCTTCCCTCCCGCCGATCGATCTCCCTCGCCTGCAGTTTGAACGCACAAGACTGATACGGCTCGGCCGCGACGACGAGATACTGAAAACTCTTGTCCGGCGGCTCCTCCACCTTTTGTTCAAAGGCCGACATAAACCGCACCCGCGGCGTCACCCCCGGCGTGATTTCTTGATATTGGAGCTGGAACAACATCCCTAGCTGCCGGGTGAGCGGGTCCCGGATCTTGGTGATCTTGTACCCGGGCCGGCCGATCTTGATGGTCTGTTTTTTCACTTGGACGCCCATCGCCCCCGGCAGCGCGGACGGGTCCTGGTTTTTGCCCTCGCGCTGCTCGCGTGCCGCGCGCCGCGCCAGGTTGGTCTGGTGCTTCCGGCCCTGCGTGTGCGCCAGGTACGAACCGTCGTTTTGGTGCACTGTCAGGCACAGCCGGCATTCGAACGAGCCCACGTGGTTCTTGAAGAAGTACGGGTCTTTGTCCAGGTCGATGGTTTCCAGGGCCAGTTTGCGGAGCCGTTCGCGGCGGTCCGCGTTCGTCGCGCTGTGCGAGGCGACGCCGCCGCCGCCGAATTTCGAGCCTGCGCGGTTCTAGATGGGGGTGTTAGTGGGTGGGTCTGACGGGTTGAGAGGGGATGGGGGTTTATGGGGGATCGTACCTGGTAGTCCATTTTGGGACTTGCGCCTGTATAGGCTCTGGTTCGGGGTTATGTGGTGGGTTCAAAGGTGAGGGGTGGAGGGTATGTTGCAGTGGTGTTGGAGATGGGATGGATGGAATCATTGATGGGATGGCAGTTTGGCGGAGAGGGAAGCTTGGATTAGGTAAGCGGTCCGGTGGCGTTGTCATTGGTTTGTGCTCCGGGGTGGGTCCCGCGGTATCGTCTGTCAATGGATATGCATATCTCTTTTTAACTACGGAGTATCTTCTGATTTTCATGGTTGAGATCGTTTGAGGTGGTACTTGAGGATTGAGATTGTTATGGATACTCCGGCTGTTGGTCAGCGACGATCCTATGCTGGGGATTTGTGTACTGTTCGCTATGTTGGCACGGTAGAGGGTACCGCCGGCGACTGGTTGGGTGTGGAATGGGATGATCCGAGTCGCGGAAAGCATTCGGGCGAGCATAAGGGGGTGAGATACTTTACATGTGAGCTTTTACTTGCAGATGCTGTGTGCTTTCTTGTCGAAGAGCATGCACTGATGAACACAGGTCTGCGCAACCACCCCACGGCTGGGTCGTTCGTGCGTCCGTCGCGCCCAGCGGACAAGCCGCGCGGGCTGGTCGAGGCATTGCGCGAGAAGTACGCTTCGGAGTACCTGGAGCAGGAGCTTGCTCGACAGCGCCAGGAGACAGATTCCATCGCCCTGCAAAAGCCCATCCAGATCAGCGGAAAGGTCGTCGAAGAGGTCGGGTTCGACAAAATCCGCAAGCAGCTGGCAGAATTGCAGGAACTGAAGATCGTCTTGCTGGATGGCTTGCGGGTCGCTGGTGTCTTAGGCCACCAGGCTACCACGGAAGAAGTGGATTCTGCGTACGAAGAGATCGAGCAGACTTGCCCTAAGATCACGGAGCTGGATTTGAGTCGGAACCTGCTGACTTGCTGGAGCGCCGTGGCGAGGATCTGCGAGCGACTCAAGCACCTCAAGTCCTTGAAGCTGGGGTATGTCTCTATCTTACGGAATGGGCAGGACGTGTTCTGACAGTGAACCAGTGGCAATCGATTCGGCCCCGTCGGAGAAGGCCTCACATTCAACAAGATCACCGAGCTATACCTCGATGAGACGCTTCTCGCCTGGGACGAGATCTCCGCCATCACCCACCAATTCCCCTCTCTCACCCTCCTCTCCGCCTCCGCCAACCAATTTTCCACTATCTCCTCACCACTGTCTGAGAAAATCACCCGCCTCACCCTCGAAAACAACGATTTCACCTCCCTCTCCGCCCTCAAACCCCTGACCTCCTTGCCCAACCTCCAACACCTGTCCCTCCGCTCCAACGCCATCACCACCATCACCACCCCCGAAGGCCCCACCCCGCTAATCTTCCCAACCCTAACCTCCCTCGACCTCTCCCGCAACAAGATCTCCACCTGGCTCTTCCTCAACCACCTCCCCACCACATGCCCCGCCCTCACGACCCTTCGCATCTCCACCAACCCGCTCTTCGACGGGCCCGTCGGCCCGACCTCCATCACGGGCCTCCCCGAGAAACCCATGACCGTCGACGAAGCCTACATGCTTACACTCGCGCGGATAGCCAATCTCCAAGTCCTGAACTACGGCACCATCACGCCCAAGGACCGCACCAACGGCGAACTGTACTACCTCTCCCTCATCGCGAAGGAACTCTCCGCCACACCCCAAGCGGAAGAACCGGTGATCCTGGCCAAGCATCCGCGGTATGCGGAGCTGTGCGAATTGCACGGTGAGCCGGAGATCCGGAGGACGAGTGCGGAGGACGCAGCCGGGAGAGTGGTGAATCCTCGGTCTGTGGCTGCGCGGTTGGTGAAGTTTGTGTTTTGTTTGAGGGCCCAGAGGGGGGGTGGTGGTGGATCCGAGGGGAATGCGGATGAGGTGGTCAGAACGAGAGAGATCCCCCGGTCGTTCGATACGTACCAGGTCAAGGCGATTGCGGGGCGGTTGTTTGGGCTCCCTGCCTATGGGCTGAGGTTGGTGTGGGAGACGGATGAGTTGGATCCGGTTAGTCGGGAGAAGATGGAGGATGAGGAGTGGGATAGTGAGGGGGAGGATGAGCGCGGAGGGGTTGCAGATGCTGACGGGGATCGGTTTGTTAAGAGAGAAGTGGAGTTGGTGGAATCGACCAAAGACATTGGGTTCTGGGTTCAGGCTGACGTGTCGGAGGTGCGGGTGAGGGTTGAGGTGGTGGATTTACGTTGAGGTGACAGAATCATGGTCAAACTGAACAATTTCTCTGTCGAGACGAACATGTTGATTAGAGGTTATTCTAGAGTCTTCTTGAGTTATGTTGAATCAAACTAGAGACAGAACTCAATTATCCAAGATGAACTGCAAGAAGCGTGCCATTACTGCCCCAAAACTGCTCATTCCTCGTCACCACCAGGCTCGCATGATATGCATCCTGTCAAAACATTTTCCCTAGCACGCCAGTCTTGCCCTCTGCTTTCCCTCTCATTCTATAACCTTCCGCTAGCAATGTGCAGTATCTTTCTCTCGTCGGCTATCATAGCCATGACGTATTTTCCGGCAGAGCTTTCTCCATTGCTCTGTCATGGAAAGAGATCTGAATGTCTCTGGAACTCGGTAGTCATAACAACTACCGCCTGGGTTTGATCCCATTGCAGGAATGGGCCAATTGCCTGCTCTCTTATAGCAAAGCACATTGCGACTGAGACTAGGTGGACGGTGTGGCAGTATCTCTGCAGACTCAAGCCTGACGAGTTCAGCTGGTAGCTGAGAGTCTGACCGTGCAGTAATCTGGCTTGCCAGTAAGTTGATCAACAATTTTGCCTCTCTTGGGTTGCCATTGCTGTATGTCGAATTGTGCAGTCAAAAATCCACCTGCCTCTTTGGCCCCACGGTCCCTCCCAGTGCCTGTTTTGCAAGTTCGAAGTCAATGCCGGGGACGTTTGTCGCAATAAGCTTGATGAGATCCTCGTCGCTGATTGCCCCAACCGAGTCAGTCACGAACCGTTTCGGGCCTCCGGTATAGTATTTTTCGATTATGCCCTTATGCACGTGATCATTGTAACCGAATTCCACCAGGCTTCCGATAGCCATGTGAGCCTTGGAGGCGTCCTTGATCCCCACCAGCCAGAATCCCTTCCTCGGGACTACGGACTTAGCGGAGGTGCCCAAGGTCTCCAAGATCTTCCTGACTTCGTCGACGACAAGTGCCCACGCTCCATCATCCGGTGCCTGCGTCACAAACTTTAGGGCCACGAGTGACCCGTCCATGTATACCCCTGCGTTCTCCGTGTCCAAATCCCCCCCCTCCAGCTTGACCCTTCGGGTCTTCACTAATCCAGCAATCTTGGAAGTCGCACAGAGGGTAAAATTGATCCCCCAGCTGAGACATGTCTCAGGACTTGAGTTCTTTCCTGTGAGAGGCTCACACGTGGCTATTGAAAGAGCTCCTCTTTGAGCAAATTGGTTAGTTGCATTGCGTGCCTGCTAGCTACAAGATATGCCCTCAAGTACACGGTATGATCAGAGTCGGCTGCATGCTAGGGACGTATTGCTCCATGTACCTTGACTCCACGGTTATTCAGTTGCCGGCCGGCGAAAGGAAAGCATGATTGTAAAGATTGACCATCTCATTATCCAAGGCTGGCACTGAAAACGCAGTTATGATTGATACGAAAGAGAGGATAGGCGAGAGGCCTATCTTCATCAATTTGAGGAATGCATTCTTCCGCTGATGACACCCGATACGAGCCCCGATTCCACGTTTTGCTTCAGTGACCAAACCCATGTAGAAGAAGAGAATACTGTCGTCTTTTTCGAGAATGAGTGCATATACTCCGCATTCATACTCTCGCACTCTTCAAAAAGGTTTTCAGCTTCGAATGTGCAGGTATGTTTGAGATGAACAATGTCTCTAAGCAAGGCGCACGGAGATACTCAGCAGGGTGCTCTCAGAATGCAGGCATAAGAACCTCCAGAGTATAGGATCATCATCTTTTCCCAGCTTTGGTCATTCTGCAAGCTCTTCTTTGGTCACTGGATCACACTCAACGGCCTTGTATTGTGTACGTTGTATACACAACGCGATGGACTCCACTACAACACTGGGATCCTCCGATTGTTGGAGAGGTCGTGCATCTGAGTCGGTCTGGAAAGCCTTCTTGTAGCGCATTATCTCCTGGTTTCCCGTATTAATGGGACATCTAAGGAGGCATCGGCGAAACCGAGGACGGTGCTTACACAATAAGACAATATCTCCCCCGCTCGTCAGCCTTACGCTTCTTTTGCTTTGCAACCATGAACCCTATCGTCATTGATGTCAGCTGAAGAGTCCGGCGGCGATGAGTCACTCGCCTCTTTGAGCATTTGGTCAAAGATTATGAAAATTATGCAATGACTTTCGCTGGGACTCGACACAGCACGAAACTCTCGAATGTAGCTGCTCCACCCATGTCGTCATCCATGAAGTATTTGAACCCTATTCCACCCTCATTTGCGAGGTCAGAAAGGGAAGTTTCATTATATGGAGCTGGAATAGCATCTATAACGATGTCCTTCAACCTTGTGTACGTCCCCGGAGCACCAGAGGAGGGGTAAACGTGGGCTTCTTCGATGTCCGGATAATCGGCCTTAGTGGTTATACACCGCCTCTGGCCTCGAATACCTGCCCTCTTGCTCTCTCTGGGATCACGCGGGGTGCGGTCCGACACGGAAGCTGATCGCACCGAAGGGTTTTTACTCCTGTCCCCCAGTAGACGTGCAGCTTCCTGCTCAGTGTGGTAATGTTGCTTGGGCTCGCACTCAGCCAGTCACTTGTACTGGCTTTAAGCGCCAACTCTATGCTGCGCAACCCGATAAGGGTCATGATTAGTCGTTGCTGAAGCATTGAGATCTGCACGAGACTGAGATAGTACCTTAGCGCAAAAGTGCCCAGAGCTTCATGTCTTGGTGGAGAGAACCAATCAGCTATTGATCTGCCCGCAGAAATGCCTTTATGGGGCTTTGAAGTGCTCGGTTATTGTGGCTCTTTGAGATCAAGTGGGTATAGATATATCAGCAAGCGCAGTGCAAAGCATGTCGGAGGCGAACGGAGGGCATGTCCGTCGATACTAACATATGCTTATCACCTTTTCTTCCTTACAAGAATTCCACATTCAGACTATCGTCCTATAGTGAGACGACACATTCTAGACTAAACTCGAGTCTTCATACTCTGGTCCTTTCATTGTAGGGGGGCGGTTCTCGCTGTCTCGATCTCTGACCCTGCCTTAATCAGCCAACGAACCCTTACCGAGAAGTCAAGCTGGCTGATAATTTAACCATTGCTGCTGGTCTCCAAAGCTTGATGAGATGCTCGAGGAACTAATGCAATAAGACGCTTGCCTTCTTCGACGCGAGGCGCTGCTCCGCCTTGCAAAATGCATTCTTGGTAAGGTCTAGATCCGGTGAGATACTCGACGGAATCTTTCTAGGTCTTCAAGATCAGACAACGCCAAGTAGCGGAGGCAATGGTACCTGAATTTGATTAGATAAAACGCTGCCCGAGCGCCTTCGTCTCTCGCTGGGACCGTATGGTTCGTAGGAGGTTTTCCTCGTTGGTGTAGTGACGGGACCTTTCTTGGGCAAGTTTCCATTCAGCCACCTCTAATGCGATCGCGGCCGCCGGCAGAGGAGTATCAGATGTTTTTGCAACAGCACTAGAAGCTCTGTTCAACTCCAGTTCCTCATTAGGCAGCGGGGACCTAAACAGCCCTCTGTTTGTGCGGGGAGTAAGAGTTGCCTGTGCCAAACGTTGTTTGATATCTTCCTTTGATGTGTGGGTGTGCGGGTTGAGGAACCCCCTATAACGGTTGCGATAATCTCCTCTGATATTGGAAACCAAATCTTGTTCAGAGTGGACGAATGTCCCATCTGGTTTCGTGGCAAAGACGAATCTCCATACTGCTTGTCGTTCTTGTGTCTTCGCTCGAGATGACTCGCTTAAAGCAGAAACAACTTGAAGTGCCTAGAACAAACTAGATCAGTCAGATACCGATTTGTGAAGCGGTAGTCTCATTCAAGCCGAGTATCGCGTATGTCTCGGCTTCCGCTATGAGCTGGGTATCATCTACTGGAATGGGATTTTCAGTAATCTCATTGTAGTCCTCTTGGTCAGAGCCATCTACAACTGAGTCAGCCGCATTGAATAAAGCATCGTCGTCGTCACTCAAAGGTTGCATCAGCTATATCAGGAACCATTCCTTCATCAAGAAGTCCTCGATACCAAATGACTCAAGCCAGTTGGCGTCGTCCACAGGGACCTAGGCTCCAAATTAGACATCTGACTTCGCGATTTTTCGCTCTATGCGAACATCCTCATCTGAGGGTAGGCAGTCCCGAGTCACAGGTGTCAACATGAACTTCATTCTGAAGAGTTTGGAACGAGCGTTGATAATGAGGGATCACAACCCGTATGATCTGGTCGCCAGGATTGTGATGTACGTCAAGCATCTCATTCAAAGACATAGAACGACTTATCTTTGAGTATATGAGAGAATGTCCGTGGCTTTGTGAGCATTTTGTCTTGCCACGGCATATTCCATCGGCCCGCATGAGGAAGTGCCTGTTTGAACTTGACAGTAACTTGAAGAAGATGGGTCTTCTTGCTTCTTACTTCTGCTGTCGTCGTTGACAGCGATATGATGGTGCAAGGGAGATCATCTGTTTTAGGTCTCGCCTCTGTGATATGGGTTCTCCGTCCATGCTGGAGCTTTGGGTGAGCCCTGCAGTAGGGTTGCCTGTCGTTCAGTGTCCAATTTAACGCCGAATGATCCTTACCAGCTCATGTATCCGATCGTGGTCTGTATAGATACTCAGAACAGGCGCGTCAGGTCGACGGGGGCATCCAAGATTGGAATCCAAGGAGACCAGGCTGCCAGAGTTGACCGGGAACTTATATCCAGGCCCTGTCACCAACTGCTACAATGCCGTACGTGATATACTAGGCCTGACTGCTATTGTAAACGCCCGCCAGGCCATGCTGCAGTTCACACTTGAGCACCGAACAGCGGTGATATTCCTTCTAGCCAGGCCGACTGTTACGCGGAAAGTGTTTGGCTTTGATGATTACCATCTTCTTCTGCTTGTGAGAAGCACATCGGCTGTCTATCTGGCCCCCTGGTGGGTGTATGACTCTCGCTCCACGCTATAACCAGTGCAGAGTGGGAAGTAGCCGGAAACATATCTTGTTTTTCTGGTTTTTTTCTTCACTGTCAGCTGACAGAAGGAATTGGAGTTTCATGGACGAACACAAAACTGCATACTCCGAGCAGCAACAGCATCTCATCCCCACAATCAGGACGGATGGCTTGGGGCAAGCGTTTCCTGCTGCAGAGCGTTGTACAAATGGGCGGTGTACATGGTCGCCCCCTCGATGGTGAGAAGTATTGGTTGTTCCAAGTGAAATGACCTGGAGTTAGATCATGCAAGATGTGCCTTCGTCAAGTCGCTTGTGGGAGTGATGCATGGGCCTTCCTCTTATCGACAAGGTGGCAGATTTGTACAAGGCTCTGACTCAGGTCTGAGAATTCTTTCCAGACTTGATTCCGTTCTCTGCCCTTACGATCTTGTCGGAATTAGCTGATGCCAAGCGAAAGGGCTGAATGTATCTTCCAGTCAAAAGTCCAGACGTTCTTCCTCGCTGGGAATAGCGACAACACCATTTTGAACGCCAACCGAACTCGCTTTCTGTCATAAAGCGTATAATCAATCTGGACTGAAGCCGACCCATCATTCCGTATTGCCATTGCTGACCTCGCACTGGGCTCGTGTTCTGAGTTGAATACTTAGCAAAGGCAACAAATATGCTGTTGGTGAGACCGGTTCTCTTGATCCGAGTAGAGATAGAGATAGCGGATGTTCACACTTGCGAACAACCCTTGCCAAAATCCGGACACGAATTCTATCTTGTCGGTTCGATACGAAGCTATCAAGCAGCTACAGAAAAAGTCAGCTTGTTGTTACCATTCAGCCAACGTGGTGAACATGAGATTCACATCAGACTTTTCCATGCCTTCATCTTTTTCCTGGCTGTTCGACAGCTGCAATCTGGCTGCTAGGTAGGGGGCTGTGGAGCAGTCACCCTTCTCTCTATAGCTTGCTGCTCATCCGACCGGAGAGGTATTAAGGTTGTATTGCTCTTCTTTTTCTTTCTTGGAAGTGGCTGTGGTGCATCTGGTCCCTCACAGCTCTACGGTGATTGAAAAGCCGTGAGATTCCTGCCCCATCTCCGCTGGAGAGCAAAGCTGTCTCCTGCTCCTTCGTGAAAGACCTTCGACGTGGTCTCGTGAATATGTGTTTGCTCCTGTACTGTATGTTGAGTACGCAGGTCTGATAGCCCTTCTTAATGAGCCTTTCGATAGCCGAGCTGAATCATGCTTCACGGCCCTGAGGTGTAAAGCACATTGGCGACAGCTGGTTGTAGTCGCCGACGAGAAGGATGCCACTTGAGGAAGTTTCGTCAAGACAAGAAACCATCCCAGATCGTGATAGAAAGTCGCCTCATCGATAGTGAGGTTTGTAGGGAAAAGCTCTCGCCGCGATATCTCGGGCAAATTCAGCGGATTAGTTACCACAATATCAATCTTGCGCATCATGATATTCAAGGTCTTTCGACGGGACTTCTCATAGCTTCGAGATTCTCCGCCGCGGCTGATTTGCCCAAACAGGCGGTTCAAGGGTCCCATAAGCTTATCAGAGTTTTAACAGTCCTCTTCCAGGGCTTCCATGCCGTCCTCAAGATAGCTCGCAGCCCTCACAGCGAGACCATCCCCGATATCGCCGCCCTTGGCCGCTCCCTGTTCCTTGCACTGAGCCTGTATGTGAAGCTCGACGGCCTGGCAAAGCTTGCTTGCCTTCATAAGCTGGCGCGCTACCTCCACTTTCTCTGCTGCTCCTGCCTTCCCAAGGCGCTCAGCCTCTATCATCCATGATGAGCTAGCAATACGGACTTACCATTTCTTCGACAGCAACGCCCATTCTCTACAGCGCTTTGCGATGCCGGCACTTCTTTTGGACCTAGTTCTGGTCTCTCTGGAGATTAAGCTGATAAACTGATCGAATATAGTACCTGTGCTATTGCTGCCGAATGCCACTGGCATGTCCATACCAGGCATTTTCTGGCTTCGAATTCTCCATTTGGGTCTCCTTTTGAGAGCCCCCGTTGTTGCCAAATGCCGCGTAACTTGTTAATTCATTCATAAGCTCTCTCCAATAAAGGCGAGGCGGAATGGCTGAAGCCATTGCAGTCTGAATGGAGGGTAGAGAGAATACTCATCGAGAAAGATAACAAGAGCAGAAGTGTGAAAATGAAGGTGATAATGATATTTGCGTGGGCGCACAGGCCCCAATGATGCTGTTTCTGTTGGGTTGACACAAAAGCGGGGTCTTTCGGTACTATGGCTTAAAAATGAATACCCTGTGATGTTTAGCAAGTCCGGTGCCACGACTGAGGGTTTGATTCGGAGATCAATGCTTTGAGAGCCTTGCTGTCTCAAAAGTGTTGCGGGAAGAACAAGCACCAGGAAGTCGTACACAGTCAGAGACAGCGTCTCCAATTTCGGCGGAGAACAAGTTCGAGCTGCCTGATCATGTCATGAGTGTATGATTGAGTTAGCCGCTGGAGGGGGCTAAAGAACTGTTAGCAACCAACCTCTAAGCAGAACCAGATTAAAACACAGGCTACGGGCTACTTACGGCGCCGCAAGCACCGAGAGGCCTTACTGTGCATAGCACAGTTCGCGCAGCCGCCCCTGAAAAAGCCGTCCACAGTCACGCAGCCCTTGAAAGATCCCTAGTAGCGTATATAGTAGCTGCACTTTCCGCCCTCTCCCCCGACCTCCCCTTCACAGAGATCGCCAACTATCTGGCCCAGCACCGATATATAGTTCGGCCGGAAGGCAAGAGAAAAAGCGGCCGCGGGGTTGCGCTGCTCCAGTTCATACTGAGCGTCCCAGACCGCAAGATCCTGCATGGCCTGCGATGGGAGCCCCCAAAAACCACCCAGCCTAAACAACAAAAGGTCGTCGTTTGTGGAGGGGGCCGGGCACGGCCGTGGCGGTGGTGGCGGTGGCGGCGGCGTTGGTGAAAAAGAAGATAGGTTGCCAGAGATACTCCTGATTTGGCTTCGACGAGGTGGTTTTGAGAACAGGGGAACATGAGCCAGCCTTTGATGTATTTGAAGTATACCACGTGCAAGCCTGAGAACTCGCCATGATGATTCGGGATGATGGAGGAGATGCAAGATAAGGTTAGAAGTACAGATTCAGTGTGTAAGGAAGTTGGATACAGAAGAGAAAATGGAAGAGGTAGAAGAAGAGAAAGAGGAAACCAGAGGAGCTTAAGTATTGAAGATCCAGCTGTGTAGCTTCAGCCTTCAATGAAAGAGCAGTTTCCTGCCTAGTGAATATCCCATCTAGCACCAATTCATACCGACAATCAACATCCTCCTCAAGACAATACAGGATCTATTCACCCAAACCAGCAGTTAAGCTATTCCCAACCATCATCAGACATCCAACAGCAGTATATACAAATCGAATAAGCGAGTCGGCCGAGAGCAGGAGACGCCCTATCAAGGCCAATCTTCCACCAATCAAGGGCAGGAACCACTCGGAGAGGAAGCCGAGCGATAAGTGCGAAGGGCGCGCGGGGCACGTGGGGTCGACCTTCAGAGCTCACGTTATCGAATTTCCCTATCACTTGCACTGTTTTTGTCACTCCGCCCGTCAAGTCAGTGCTATCGACCTTCTGCACGGTCTACACCCGAAACTCTTTTCCGTTCGGGGTATTGCATTCCGTGCGTCTCGCCTGCCAGTGTCGGCCATCTATAAATCTCTTGTCTACCCCACTTTCTTTCCAGCTGCACACCAGCAATTCTCAAGGTATGTTTTGAACTACCCCTCATCACCTTACCTTATACAATAGCTCAATCGACACCATCTCACCAGCTCATAGTACAGTACAACCCGCACAACACCGCAACAATGGGCTCAACCAGCCCCAAACCCAAGGTCCTGCTGATCGGAAAGATCGACCAGTGCGTCCCCCCCCCTCCTTTACTAGCAAACCAATTGACCAGCACCACCACTAACCCCATCCCAGCGCATACGCCACCTGGACGGGCCTCAGCGACATCGCCGACCTCCTCGAAACGACCGCCACCAACCGCGAGGAGTTCATCCAGGAATGCAAGTCCGGGAAGTATGACGGCGTCGTCGCGGCCTACCGCACCCTGGGATCCATCAACATCACCGGCCTCTTCGACCAGGAGATCATTGACGTGCTGCCCTCGTCGTTGGTGTGGATTGCTCATTGTGGTGCGTGCTTGCCCCTAGCCCAACCCTGCCCTTTAACCCTTTACCACCACCACTCTAAACACCCCAATTACCCCCCCTCCCACACCTAATAACAAGAGGAACAGGAGCGGGCTACGACCAAATCTCGATCCCAGCCTGCACCACCCGCGGCCCCAAACCCATCCGGGTCTCCAACGTCCCCACAGCGCCGGACAACGCCACCGCCGACGTCAACATGTTCCTAATCCTGGGCGCGCTCCGCAACTTCAACGCGGGCATGCAGAACCTACGCACCGGGGACTTCCGGGGTAAACCCGGCAGCACCCTACCAGCCCTAGGCCACGACCCGCAGGGCAAGACGCTGGGCATTTTAGGGATGGGCGGGATCGGGCGGAACCTGAAGCGGAAGGCCGAGGCGTTCGGGATGCGCGTCATCTACCACAACCGGCGCGCGTTGGGGCCCGAGCAGGCCGACGGGGCGGAGTACGTGAGCTTCGACGAGCTGCTCGCGGAAAGTGACGTGCTGTCGTTGAACCTACCCCTCAACCCGAAGACGAGGCACATCATCAGTCATGCCGAGTTCGCCAAGATGAAGGATGGGGTGGTGGTGGTCAACACGGCGCGCGGCGCGGTCATGGATGAGGAGGCGCTGGTGCAGGCGTTGGACTCCGGGAAGGTGTTTTCGGCGGGGTTGGATGTCTTTGAGGAGGAGCCGACGGTGCATTCCGGTTTGTTGCGGAACCCCAACTGTGTGCTCGTGCCGCATATGGGGACATGGACGGTCGAGGTGAGTTTTTCTCCCGTTTCCTTTTCTCGGGGGGGAATGAGGGGTGGCTAACAGAGTCAATGACTGCAGACTCAAACGGCAATGGAGGAATGGACGATCGGGAATATTCGCTCCGCCTTGGAGACGGGCAAGTTGAAGAGTCCCGTCCCCGAGCAGGCAGACCTTTGAACGACAGACAACAAGATTGTTTATACAGCATAGACACGTTAATAGAGGTTAAGAATCGGTCTGCTTTTTTTTGTGTATGTACAATGGTCTCATTATTTCATTGTCTTCAGACGAAGTGTCTAGACACTAGCGCCGAACCATACAGTCCCCTCTCCACAGACAAAAGCAACATCACGAAGCAATTATGACACCTGTTCAGGTAATGCAGCCGTAAACGCCATGAACTGCCCGTCCTTCTGCTACCAAAAATAAAAAAGAAATGAAAAGAAAACTCAATCCAATGCCTAACTCCGGGCCCAGGTGTGACTTCTCTACCCATGCCCAACACGCCTGGCAGGTGTGAGGTCTATCCACCCGCGATTACTGTTGGCGGGACCCCCCTTGATGACCAGGCAGAAAGTCTAGTAGAACATGGTGAATCGGTACGCAGCGTACCGACGCGCTTTTCATATGACAGATCGCAAATTGCTCGCATCAGAAAGAATGAATAACCCCGCTGGTCACTCCCGGGAAACAATCCAGGACCGAACGACCATGCCACAGATGCGCTTGATAACTTGTGTCGTGCCCTTGCCGCCGGCCTCCTGTTCGAGGAACTTCTGTGCAACATACAGCTTGGCTCCCGCATCCTTCTCGTTCGTCGTGATCGGTTGCGGGAAGCTGCGGGGAAAGTCCGCCCACCGTTGTCCCAGGTGGCGCGCAATAGCGATCGAATAGATCACATCTCGGTTCTCGTACGTGTCCAACAATGTGCGGCAGCGGGCCAGGGTATCGTCGATCTCCTTGGCCGAGCTGGCTTCGTTGTCGTGTAGCGTGAGGAAGTATCCGACGGCGCTCCAGAAGTCCAACGACCGCTGTGTGAGCTGATCCGGCAGCGAGGGGGGATTGGCAGCCGGCTCCCGGGTAGGGAACTGGCTCAGAGGGTTGGAGTCCAGATGTTCGCCCGTGATCATCGCCTCAATCACGTCCAGCCTCTTCGCTGACGCTAGCAGATCGTACTCAGGCTGGGCACCTCCGGACACGTTCATCACATGACGGCACAAGGTCATCGAGCTCCACACCACTGACGCTTCGAAACTCTCCAACCGAGCAACCACGTTCGGGTCATTCAAATTGGGGTCGTTGAAGGCATCGATCAAGGCTGAGTACTCCGCCATGAGCTGTGCATTTGCCAGCAAATGGGCCAACGCTTTATCCTGGAACCACCTGGTTTCGAAGAACTTGTCGATGGCCGGAGCATACGTTGCGAGGAACACGGCTTGGATTTCCTCAAGCCGGTTAGGCGGCAGCGATGTGATGGGGTGTGGAGGGGGAGGGGGAATTCCTCGCAGGGCAAGAAGGTCGCTGATCTGCACTTGTTTCACTGCGGGCTGAGTTAGCATGCTTACAACACCATCGTAGGTAGAAGAGTATACCTCTGAAACTGGTAGCCTCCGACGGGGTACCAGTAGCATTGGTTGCTGCCGGGTTTACCGTCGGCTGCAGGCCTCCTTCAACGGCATGCTGTATGCTGGCCATGTTCTGCTGGTTGTTCACGTCGGCGGAGTGATCGACGGGCGCTCCGTAGCTATCGTAGCGGTCGGTTGACGTGCTGGGCGATTCAGAAGGAGCAAACGGTTGCGACGCGGCAGGTACGTAGCCCGGAGGAGCTTGAGGATAAGAGGTGGAAGGATCCTGAGGATTGACCACCAAAGAAGGATGCGGATTAGGGGCGGGTTGAATAGCAGAAGGCGTTGGTTGTTGTTTAAACACGGGGTCGTAACCTAGACATTCCCGTTTACTTTTGACACAGTTCCGACAGACAGGATGACCCTCGTCACACTAGTGTGCATTAAGCAGTTAGCGGGAATATCGATGAAGGGTACAAACCCAAAATTCACAGAGGAGAGGTCAAAGAAGAAAAACAAAAGGGTATAGAGTGACACAAAGAAGTGACCGCTCAGGGTATCAAAAATTAAATGTGAGCGTGAATAGTTAGGCGGGGAAGAAAGCACCAACAGTGGTGAGTGGGCGAGAACAACAACAAGCGACAGGCGGGGTTCGGCGAGCCGAACAAACATTTGCGGCGGCGCAAGCGAACACTCGCCTGTTGCGACCGCCTGCCATTGCCTGCCCGCCCGCCCGCCCTCCTTGCAGGTCAGTTTCACCTCCCCTCCTTCCTCCCCACATTCATTACCCTCACAACAGAACACATATTATCGACCGAAAAAATCACACATGCTGTTTTTGCACATACCTTGATTCGTCGCTTACGACACGTTAGGCACCCCGTTTTCGTCCGACGCTTGACCTCCTTCTTGTGTCTCCCGCCCGATAACATCTTGTTAGGGTCACCTGGAAGCTGGTATCGCATCTGGGAGTTGGCATTCATCCCCATTTGACCAACATTAGTAGGGTATCCCGTCATGTACTGGCCAACGGACGTCATCGGAGGCATGTTTGAGGGCATGGGCGAACCAATGGGGGCCTGTGGCATTTGGGAGTGCTGTCCCTGCATCGAATGATGATCCATGGTCTGCATCGACGGCGCACTCATGGACTGGTGGTTGTGATACATGTCCGAGCTCTGGTGCTGCTGGTACTGTTGCTGTTGCTGGTGCGGTTGTGTCGGTGTCGACTGCCCCGGACCGTGCTGGTGTTGAGATGGCGATCCATGCTGCGATGGCGTGTGCTGCTGCTGCGGATGATGTTGATTGTGGGAGTATTGATGCTCGTAGTGGTTTTGGGGTTGCGACGGTTGACCTGGGTGTGGGGACTGCTGATGTTGATGTGTGTGGTGGGACAAATGAGAGTGCTCCTGCTGAGCGGGCTGCTGCGAATGCGTGTCGTTCACCGGAGGATGATAGGAGGGAGCGGGGGTCGAGGAATGGGGCGTGTGATCGGGAAAGTCGAAACCATTCGTTCCTGGTGGGTGTGAATGGTCCACCCCATGGCCATCGGTATCACTTTGTTTTAATTCCGGGAACGAGAAATCGGGTTCCTCGGTGTGTAGTCCGTCCGTAGCTGGAAGCGTAGTGTCAAGCGGTGGTAAAGAGGTATCAATTGGAGGAAGCGACGGTATCGTCGTATCGATTGGGGGCAGTTCATGACTGAGACGTTCGTGTTCCTCCATCGCTGGCAGAGTCGTATCGATTGGAGGGAGTGAGGTATCGTTATGGGGAAGCGCGTGGTCTACTGGCGGCTCGCTGTTGTGCTGCTCAGTTGACCGCATCTGAACCGAGGGCATCTCAAGAGGAGGCTGTTCGGCAGGAAGCTGCTGATGAGGGGCATGCTGATAGGGAGGCTGCTGAGGGGGGGGCTGCTCGTGGGGAGGCTGCTCATGTAAAGGCTGCTCATGTAAAGGCTGCTCATGGGGAGGCTGCTGATGGGAAGGCTGTTGCTGAGGGGGTAGCTGAGGGGGAGACTCCTGATGAGGGGCATGCTGATAGGGAGGCTGCTGGGGGGCAGGTTGCTCATTAGAAGGCTGTTCAGCGGGAGGTATTTGAGCAGGAGGGATTTCAGCAGGAGGCATCTGAGCAGAGGGCTGCTCAGCAGAAGGCATCTCAGTCGGCTCGGGAGCCGGCTTGGGCGCCTCCTCTGCTGGATTCGTCGAATCCGTTGGCTCCGCCATATTGATAAGAGTTCGACGCCTCTGTCACCCCTGCGTACGATAAGAATAAATGTATTCGAGCCTTGAAAAGGCTTTCTGGTCTGTCGGACGGGTCGAGGTCGGCCACGGATGACTTTTACCGCTAGCAAAGACTTTGCAGGGAATGCGGAGCCGATGGGTGCTGTCTCTCTAACTCAAAAGAAAAAGCATGTTAGTGGGCTGATTCCGATTAACGCGACCCAACGACACTCTGGCAACCCCAGGACATCATGGCTATTCGTATCGAACAGTTGGTGTCGAGACTGGTCGGTACTTTTGGCTCGCGCATTTGTCGGGGTGTCGAGTTCCGACGCGATTCCCTCGAAAATTGTCCGCATACAGAGGGTGCTGGTACGATCCACGATGCGTTGGCTACCGTTCCCTAACATGATCAAGCCCCGTCCAAACATCCAAGCTCCTTCATCTTGTGTCCCAAGAGGCAGTGCAGCCTTGTCAGGCCGGGCAACGCTGGATGCGACCGTCTAAAGCCTCCCCGAATCCGACCCCAGGACGGCACTGCCACGGCGGAAGAATCGTACATGGTAAACTGGCGGAGGTCGAGATACCATGCGTAACCGGTAATAATTAACCCGGTCGAAGAAACAAACCGGCGAATCGACAAGTCACAATGACCGAGGCAGACAAAGGTCGAGTGCGTGTCGGGGGGGTTGCCAGAGGGGAGGGATCGGGACAAGCAAATGGGAAGAAGCTCTCGTTTACTCACCATGCACTGGGCCAGATAAGCGAAAAGAAGCGAGCCGAATGACTATAGCACCAAAACACGCAATGCGGCACCAAATAATCTCCGCATTTGGGGGTGGGAGGGGAAGAATGGGAATGCGACAGGAAAAGGCTGTTGCGCAGATAAACGAGCGAGGCAGAGAGAGCGCGAGAGCTTCGGGGCCGCGAAAGAATAGTGAGGGTGAGAGAGAGAGGGAGAAGAGAAGAAGTTTAGTGAGTGAGAGAGAGTCAGTCAGTCCCCGGACTCTTGGTTTGGTCTGCGCCGACGGGGAAAATTAATACGGGCAGAAAAATTCGATGCAAAAAAAGGGAAGGGTCCAACGGTCTGTGGTCAGTCAGTGGCAACCAGACTTGAATCCATATTCAACAACTGACAAGGTACTGTACAACAGCACAATGTGCTCCTTATAATTATGCTTAATATCTGGTTCTTGTGTTCTTTTGGAATTGTTGCAGTATTCTTAGTTGAGTCTATTCATTTCGGTAATTTCTAGCGCGCCATTTATTATCTGCGCACCACAAAGTTCAAGTCAACCGTTCAAACCATCAAGCGATTTTCGAGGCTTTGGCTTGATTGCCAACTGGAAAAAGTAATATCTACAGATGGGGTGCGGCTCTGGTGATGCGGTTTCAGTTGCCCGCCAAGGCTAGATCTGCAGTTGTCTGGGTGTTCAGTTGGAGTTGGTGTTCCCGCCGAGCTCCAATCACCTGAACACTCCCGAGGCTCATGATGAACCTCCATGATGAACCAGATCGGCACAGTTATGCTGTTTGGCATCCATGTAAATGTGGATATTTGTTTCGTGACCATTTATGAGTCTCTTGTAGTGAGCCCTCTTGAAGCCATTTGCAGCTGAGACATTTCATGCAGCTGGTGTACTTCTGGATGTAACGTCCAGTGACAGCATGCGTGTTGCATCGTAGATCAGGCGTCGGTTTCCCTCAGCAAGGGCGTCTCAGCCCTTTGAACTGTTCCATCGCATAATTTAGTGGCGCACTCATTTCCTCATGACCTTTGGTTTGCGTTTCTTGAACACAACTCCAGCAGCTGGCTCTTCAGCCTCGGTTTTCGGTACAGTTTCCAACGATGTATCATCCCCTGCCTGCTCCTCCTTGACAGCAGGTGCTTCATCCGACTCTGCAGGCTGCACTTCTCCCTCCGACTTGACCGGCACGAAGTGGCCTTTTGTTGATTGCTTCCCCGCGTGCGCTGCATCCTGCTGGGTTCTCGGATTCGCATCCACGTCCGCTTCCGCTTTGACGTCCGAAGGCTTCACCCTCTTAATCTCCCTCGTCGACGCCAGCAGCGCATCCAGATCCGTGTCATTCTCCTTGGCCCCAGGATACCTCCTAACCGACGACCCCCACCCCTTCGAGACAAACCTCTCCGCCTCCCTCTTCGCCTCCGCTTCCTCCTCATCAACATCAGCATCACCGGCACCACCATTACCCCCCTCCAACTTGCGCTTGCGCACTCCCACCGACCTCCCCGCCGTCGAACCGCCCTCCTCCCCACTATCGATCACCTTCTCCGAAACAGTCTGCCACGTCCCCGCTAGTGCCATCTCCCCACGGAACTCGTCCGGAATCGCCACCCCCATCTCCGCCAACTGCGCCATCTGCCGTTTCCGCTCCTCCATCGACACCGGCCTCTCCTGGGGTTTGGGAGTCTCTCGCTGCCGCCACGGTGCCCCCGCGGCATCGCCCCCTTTGCTAGGGTCATTGAGTCCCGCGACCGTCTGCCGCAGCCGCTCGACCTCGCTCTTGGCGCGCTGGGACTCCCGCTGCTGCTGCTCGTTGTTGCGGTGGATGTCGCGGAGGAAGCGTTTGAGGTTTCCTTGGTGTTTGCCCGTGGCTTCGTGTTGGGCTTTTTCGAAGGGGGTGTCGCGAATGAATATCTTGCATTGCTTGCACCAGTATTTTGGCTTCGCAGAAATTTAGTTTAGTAGGTGGCTTGGTTTGGGTTTTGGGAGGGCAACGGAGGGCGCAGAGAGGAAGGGAGCAAGGGGAAAGGAAGCTTACTGCTGATTTCCAGTATTCTGCCATACTGTTGTGTGGCGGCCCAGTTCTCACCAGGGGAGGCTAAAATTGAGCGTGAGAAGGAAAAGTGGTGAGAGTTGATGGAGATTCAGGCGGTTCGGACTGGCGTTGGGTGGGTTTGTTGCGAACTGCGACGGGTCGGAGCGTCGGAGCGTCGCTCTGTCGGTCGCCCATGCTCGCCCCACAGATGCGGATTGCGCTAGTCATAAAAGGGTAAGAGCGGCCTCGACGCATAGATCTACTAAGTAGGTAAATATAAGCACAAGGTACAATATATATCGATACCATTCCCTCCCAGTTTCTACCCGTATAATCTTTCACAGTTCTTTCTCTGTCTCGATAACCCCACGGGACAGAGCTCGCTACAATGCGTCTGCCCCGCCCCTTGACAGACCTGAGGAAGTCCATCCTCAATCCCCGTCTGCATGGCCCACTAATCCAACGACACCACTTCCACCCCTGGTATACCATTCCTCAGGAGGACATCAACCGCGTCACCATCCGTAAGGTCCTCCTCTCACACATGTTCCCCTAGACTTTCCTCCAGACCTTCTTCATCGCAATCAAGAGAACTACCTCACCTATATCTCCACACTTCTTCAGCGTTTCAATGGCAGGACTTGGGGGTTCCCAATTTTCCGAGCGTTCACCACCTCGCCCGCCAACGCAGAAGACAAGGAGAAGCTGTGGTCAGCCTGTCTGCACAGCTTGTGCCGCGGCATCTACACTGAAATCCGCAAGGATGAGAATTTCCGTACTGCGCAGGTTGAGCTAAACCAGGTTCAAACCAACGCGCTGTTCCCCCGGTTTTACTGCCCGGTAATCCAGCCTGACGTGCCCATTCTGGATAAGAACAGGGTTGGGGGACCGGGAATTGGCCCTGCGACCCGCGATGCTATCCGCACTCGCTTTGCAGATTGGGTCTCCGATACCACCGAAGAACGGAACGGGCCCGGCGCGGTGGCAATGCGAGATGCGGACACTCCGCAGTACCGGATGTGTTTGATCGTTGATGATTACTGTTTAGAGCGTTTCCAGGCAGCACGGTCGGAAGAAGAGCGCCACGGTGCTCCGATCATCGTGCTGGAGCGGAACTGGACGCTAGACAAGTATCGGGGATTCTACCGGGGGGAGTGGACGGATGGAGAGACCCACAAACAGCCGCCAGATGAACCAAGTGAGGATGAGTGGGAGCCCGAGGATGAGAGTTTGCTGACGTTCTTTGAGGAGGTGGAAGGATCGAGGGCGCCGCTGCTGGGCTGGATGTATGCACGATCGAGTTGCCTTGGTTCTCTGTACGCGGGGATCGAGGAGGATAAGTACCACTCAGCGGTTTATCCTGCGTACGCGCGACCACCAGGCATTTTTCCTGATGATTGCGATGCTGGATGGAAGTACCGGTGGTAATTCTGTACTCTTTGGACTGGGTGTATACTATAATTGTCACACGATGGTGGGCAGGCTGAGCATACTGGAGATATAGATCGCGGCATTCTTCATTTTCGTGTAAATCTCTCGGCGCGCTGGGTAAACCACTACAGCAATTCTGCAGGGTTGAGGGAGACTGGAATATACTGGGCGGACAGATTGTAGGAGCTTGATCTCTCCGTATAAAATAAGGACTGCTCACTATATTTGGTGGGTGAACGCTCGCAAGCAAGGGCCATTGACTGCAGAGTCATTCCATCTAACCTCGGTCACAATCGTCAAAAGTGACCAATTACTCTCCATCTCCAAGGTAAAGTATACCCAAGATTCCACCTGGTAGTTTTAACAGAGTGTCACAACTTATAAAATGTCCAACACAATCATATATCCAATGCACTGTAATACACTCATCCCAAAATAGCAGACAACACAACTCCCACTGCACCCAACCCAAAAACAAAACACCTGGATGCTGAACTCCAAAATGCATCAAACCCTCTAAGCAACCGCTATGTATCATTGCTTCTCCAGATCGCGGGGCGGCTCCGGGTTGTATCGCAGGCCATTATCGCGTGCCATCCAGTTGATGTCGCGCAGGCGCAGCTCCCGCATGTAGGACCGCTGTTCGTGGGAGAAATCTCTTTCCTGCTCGTCGTTGCGAAACCCGCCCGTGGCGACGGAGTGGATGGAGTATCCGATGAGGACTGAGACCACGCAGCCCAGGATGACGAAGACGATGATGGCGGATTTGTCGATCATTGTGAATGGTTGTATGTGGGACTGGTGGGTTGTGGTGTTTAGTATTGGTGATGATTGGATATATGTGAGGGAAGTGATCCCGGAGGCTGAGGGGAGTGTACTCACTTTGAAGGAATGAAGGAAATGTAGCGTATAATCAGAATTGAAGTAGAGGTATATAGGCTTAGTGATACAACACACAAGTAGCAATCGACAAGCAACAAAAAGAGCGTATATTAAAGACGAATCAAACGAATGACTGGATGATGCGCAAAGAGAATGAATGCTTTTGGTCTGGGATACTTTCTCCCAGGATCCGCGAGGGTCGCATGCTTATATACCCCCATTTCCTTCTTCTGCCCCCCTCCCCAGCTGAAATCTCTGTTTATGTTGCCCTCCACTCATCAAGCTCGAAATGTCTATTTCTGGGTCTCGGTGCAGGAGTATATCGCAGCGCCAAGCATCTCCGTCGCATCCCCCGCTAGTCCGCAAAGCGTATGGTTCAGGTGTCAGTGACGTCATTAGCGAGCCGGCCAATGGGAGCCTCCAGATAGCAGTCCTAGCGCTGATACACCATGCCTGTTCCGGTAGGAAGAGTTTTGCGCCTCCAACCCATCACACCTGAACTCCTGAACTACTGCGGCCAATTTGACTTTGTGATGCTTGGCTCTCATTCCCCCCGTCGTCGTGTCGTCTCATCAGCCTCGCCGGTGGATCGGACTGTGTTTAGGTCCTATGCGTGGGGTCCGAGGAAATGAAATTTCTTGTTGAAACCAGTCGTCGTGTGCGGGCCCTGAAACTTGAACTCGGGGTGGGGTCTCCCATTGGGCCGCTCCATTGGCATCGGCTGTTCCATGGGCTGCTCAGGTACACTATCGTACGCTATCTGAAGGGTCATCAAACATGTCCAATGGGTTGCTGGAAGCCCCTAGTTTGCCTGACTCAAGGGTGTGCGTGGACCGTGGTACTTTGAGACGCGATTTAAGAAGAACTCCATTATTTTTCTTCTGTGAGTATAAGTTACCCTGTGCAGGGTCTTCGCTGGTTTTCCCGCATTCTCTTGTTGATGTATGGTAATGAGATAGGCCCTATTGGCTTTGCTCTTTGTCAGGGCTCAGAGAAAGTTCCGGGACTTGCGCGCATGCTCTGGGACAAGTAGGCTGGTGTTGTTGGACTGCCAGAGGATAGTCAAAGCGGTTTATGTATCTTCTTTTAGCAGACATGTAATGTGAAGTAGTGCCATGGTCAATCCTTCCTTCTAGACGCCCGGACACATGGTTCGGGTGGGAGAACGTTGGCCCCGTTGATCTGCCCATCCCGGATGATCAATGCTGATGCAGGATGTTTTTCATTGGCCCACAATCGCTAACAACAGTGCCAGTGTCTTGTACCTGCATGAAGACAGATTCACTTCTCTCCAGGTAGATACACATCTACTAGTACCTAGTTGTCCACGATTGGCTTTTTGCAGGGAAAGTTCTAGCCTATCGGCATGCCCGCATAGAACACTTTAAGGCTGGCATACTATGAACGCTCCACACATGCCACACTCGAATGGGTCGATCTAGATTATATATGCATGCCATGCAGTCCGGTGATTTGCATTGTGACCTTTTCTTCACATAGATCACTGTGCATGAGAGTGGTGACAAGAAAGCTGTTTGCTGGGGAACTTTGCAGAAGGAGACCTTACTTAGAAGCGCGAGCTTGTGCCTTCCATTATCCCCGATAGCCCATATTTCTGCTTGTCATGTTTGACGCTTCCACATCTCCACCTCCCCACGTGTCCTCCAGTCATAGTCACAAACTGATCATCAACGCTGAAAACCCCTGCTACAACCCCCAAGCTCATACTTGTATTCCTCTCACCCATACGGACCAAGTCAGACGAACCTACAAAACCTCGCCCACTCCCTCTCCTCCACCGAAACGGGCACCAACAACCCAAACCGATCCAACCGACACCCGACCCTCAGCACATCCTTCGCCGCCAGCACCGGTGCAGGCCGCGGGATCTCCTTCTTCGCGTAGACCGCATCCGCCGTCAGCAGCGCCAGCTGACTCGGACGCCTGGAGTCATCCAGCCGCCTGATCACAGCCGTGGCCAGCAGATTCGCGACAGTCTTCCACTCGAACCCCCGCTTGGCGAACCAAACCAGGGACTTGCAGAAGGTAATGGAATGGGTGTAGCGCCTCACACGATCCGCGACCGGCTGGCCCCATGCCGCGACCACCTCTGCCCAACGGGGACTCTGCAGCTCGCCGGTTGTCTTCTGCTTCGCTGCCGCCGCCTCATCCAACGCATGCAGCTCGACGCTCCGTCCGAAATACTCGAGCTCGGTTTTCAGGTCCGCCAGAATCGCGTACTGCGCTGCGATGCCCTTGGCGTTGGCTTTGCAGATCGCGTACTGTGCGTCGCGGGAGGGCGTCTGCGTGAGCTGGTTGCGAAGGCTGCGGATGTAGACGTGTAGGATTTCGATCTCGGCGAGGATCTGTTGCTGGAGGCGGTTGTGGGCGGCTTTGTCGCTGGTGGAGAGAGTTTCGAGGGAGAAACGCCGGGGTGGTGTTGGGGTTTGGGGGGTGTTATGGTGGTGTGGCATTGGGTGTCCGGGGATGATAGTGGTGCGGTAGTCTTGAGGGTGTTGGTTTCCTTCGTCTTGCGTGGCTTTTTGATTCCTTTTTCTTTGGTCGGGGTGCGTTTGCGCTTTAGGCTGGTGTTGGCTTTGGGGGTCATTTTTTAGATGGGTTGTGCGTGATTTGGAGGATGAGCGATGGGTTGATTGGTTTGTTAAAGGTTCGAAGTTGAATCTAGGATGTTGAAGAAGGATGGGTCGTTGGATGTGATGAGATATGGAGAGAAGAAAAATGAGATCAGACCAGATATTTAAAGAGAAGTTAAAGGAGGGAAGTATGTATAGAGTATCGTACTGCTCACGAAGTGAGAGCAAAGCGAGGTGTTAAGTTATGCTTGATTTTTCATCTGCGTATTCCAGCTCGTGTGACTAGACTTTTGTGCAAGGCATAGCTCTTCCAATTATTTCACACACAAAATCACCCCTCGACAAGAACGCGAGTCCAGTCAAACTTCCTCCAACGCTTCTGAAACCCCGGCACTCGTGGATCACCGCCCCGTTGCCAGCGGCCCTGCCGCTTGATCACCTCCGGGCCAAGATCCAACATCCCGCCGATGACCTCCCGAGCAAACAGGTCCCCACGCGGCCAGCGATTCTCATCTTCCACCACATGGCCCAGGCCGCCGTCCAGACTGAACCACACGTGGAAGTACGGCATCTCCTTGGCAATGCTGCGGCGGAAGGCACTCCGCCCCATGCCTTTCTTAGAGTTGGCAAGGGTATCGATTAGCTTACGGTGCTGAGACCACTCTGCATCGGATGATAAGATGGCCTCCTTGAAGAAAGCTGGGGATGTCTCGCCGAGGCTATAAGGGAGGGGGACCACCTCCATCGCTGCATGTCGCTTGCGATGGGGCTGGGCTGCGTTCTCGTAGAAAATCACGTCCCGGCCTTGGTCGTGGTACATGCGTGTCAGACTCTTCATGAAGTTGCGGATTTCCTCCCACTCGTCGTCGTCGCACTCCAATAGGTTCGTACGGTGCTGGATGGGAACGATGGTAGCACATTGGTCGCTGAGCTCGGGTTCAGTGGGGAGTGTGAGGTAAACTCTTGTCGCCAATGAGACGACAGGTGCGATTGGAGGCGTATTCGTGTCTTCATGATGACATAGGGGACAATTGTCAAGGATCTTGTTCATCTTTTGCAGCTCATTGATCGTGGTATTCTTGATGTCGATTTCGGAGCGGTGCACCCGACGGGCAAGCTTGGACGCATTATCATCCATGTATTCGAGATCATTCTGGTTGAAATGTTAGCAGATAATATCGATATGCTAGTAGAAGCCCTCACCTCGAATTTGGCGTCCTTAGCAATTCTTTCCGCAATACGACGGCCGTCTCCCCCATATTGTCCGCGCGTCCGTCGTTCTTCTTGAACCATGTCTTCAATGGTCATATCGTCGTTGTCTTCCACCTTGCCTCGCTCGCGACCTCGTCTGTTTTCAACTGCCTTCACTTCGTTCCTCTTTCCAGCCAGCATCCGGTTCTCCATGACGCCCAAGACCACGACGTCTGACTCCTTGCGGTTGGCCATAGCAGCAGCTGCGGCATTGTACTGCTCCTCGAGCTCGGCGGCATCCGACGCACCCTTGAGCTTGGCCTTCATCATTTGAGCCTTGAGTCGGTTGAGTGCCGTCAAATCAAGATGCTGGGTGGTGTTCTGAGGCGGGACGGTCTCCATTGGCTTGCCTTGCCCTTCAGCAATGAGCTCCTTGTTAGGATTGCGAAGGTGCTCATGCGCGCCGCGGTGAAAGTTCTCCTGTTGCTTCCGCTCCTGGAAGAGCTCGCCCGAGGGCTTCTCCTTGCCCACATATCCCTCACCATATCTTTCGCGGCGGTCTAGCTCTGCCTCCTCTTCGCGCGCGTCATCGAATGAGCGGAGATCTCCGAATCGGTTGACCGCAATCTCTTCCACTGACAAACCCGTATCCTCTGCCTCTCTGTACACAGCTTTCAACTTGGTCATTCTCCACTGCGAGCCCGCGTCGCCAAATGTGTAGTCGACTTCATGCTGAGCGGGTTTCTCTTCAATTTCCTCCAGCACCTTTCCGTCCTTCAGATCGCGTAGATGGGTGTTGATTTCCCGGCCGTGGATTTTCAGCTCATAGTCTGCCGAAAGCATCTTGGGTTTCGGTTCCTCTTCCAAACGCGTGGTCGAGCGTCGCTGGACATAGTCGATGTCGAGACTGGAGGGTCCCTCCATCCAAGCATCTCGCTTTAGCTTGGGGGCTTCATCCTGAACCACTTCGGCTGCTTCGGCTGCCGGGTTCCTTTCCTCGTCCCTGCTATCCCTGTGTCGGCGCTTGTGATCATGGTCGCGATCGTCCCCGTGGTCGGTCGAATGGCGCGAGCGTTTGTGTCGGTGACTAGTATCGTCGCTACGACGCGATTCGCGATGCCTGTCGTGGTCGCGCTCTCTCGATCGGGATGAACGACGGTGGTGACGGTGGTGCCTTGAGCGCTCGCGGCTGCGGTCCCTGTCCCGGTCACGGTGGTGGCGGTGTCTGTCTTTATCGCTTCTCTCACGTCTCTTCTCCTGCTCCTCTGCTAGCGATTTTTCGAAATCCTCTAGCGCCATGGTGTTGGGATGAAAGCGAGGCAGAGCTCGTCTTGTTGGGAGGGGAGAAAGCGAAGCAAGGGAAAAAGGCGGCGGCGGAGAAACGCCATGACGTCTGGAACGCTTCCGGCCAAACGGACTCCACCTGCAATTCCCCGCGACAAAAGAATTTCTACGCCTCGCCGTCCCAACGGATACTCTGCCTCCCCATCATACCCCTTGTTAACCAGATTTATTGACACCCACTGACTGGGTTGCTCTAATATTCCTGCCCGTCTTTGATCTTTGCTTAGTGATCTTTTCTCTCATCTTCACGATGGCACAGTCTCCGGTCGCCGTTGTCTGCGTGGGCATGGCAGGTAAGTGTCATGGCGATCATCCCCCTCACTGACGATGCATCTAATCAATCCGATTTATGTTTCACTCAGGCTCTGGAAAGACGACTTTCATGCAGCGAATCAACTCCTACCTCCACTCGAAGAAGACCGTCCCCTATGTCCTCAACCTTGACCCCGCTGTCCACACGGTTCCTTTCGAGAGCAACATTGACATCCGTGACTCCATCAACTATCGAGAGGTTATGAAGCAGTACAACCTCGGACCTAACGGCGGTATCCTTACATCTCTGAATTTATTTGCCACCAAAGTCGATCAAATCATCTCGTTGTTGGAGAAGCGGACGGCTCCCAACCCCAGCAACCCGACCGCGAAGCCCATCGAGCACATCCTGGTCGATACGCCCGGTCAGATCGAGGTGTTCGTGTGGAGTGCCTCCGGCAGCATCCTCCTCGAGACTTTGGCCTCGTCGTTCCCTACTGTGATCGCTTACGTTATTGATACCCCCCGGGCCAGCTCCACGAGTACCTTTATGAGCAACATGCTCTACGCCTGCAGTATCCTATACAAGACGAAGTTGCCCATGATCCTTGTCTTCAACAAGACTGATGTCCAAGATGCCGAATTCGCCAAGGAGTGGATGACCGATTTCGATGCTTTCCAGAAGGCTCTGCGGGAGGAAGAGGAGTCGGGCGCGTTTGGTGCTGAGGGCGCCGCGGGTGGCTTCGGGTCGGGAAGTGGTTACATGGGCTCGCTGCTCAACAGCATGAGCTTGATGCTGGAGGAGTTCTACCGACACCTGAACCTGGTCGGAGTCAGTTCCATGACAGGTGAAGGCATCGACGAGTTCTTCGAGGCCGTGGAAGAAAAGCGTCAGGAGTTCGAGCGCGACTATAAGCCCGAGTTGGAGCGCAAGAGGAAGGAGCGTGAGGAGACGAAGGCGGCGCAACGCGAGCTCGAGCTGGGCAAGCTGATGAAGGATATGAACGTCTCTGGCTCGAGCAAGGGCAAGCAAAAGGTCGAGAACGAAGCCGAGACGGTTAGCGAGGCTGAAGAGGAAGAGGAGGCACGCAGGAATGGCGACCAGGATGACGATGAGGACAGTGAGGATGACTACAGGATCCCTCGTGCCGGGGACAGTGAAGGGCTTACGCAGCGCTACAAGGACGCGCTGGCGGAACAGGGCACGGCGCCCTCCGACCAGGATCTAAGCTTTGCCAGATACCTGCGCGCGAGCAACATCAACCAGTGATACCTGACCATGAGTCGACCTTGCACATTTTTCCTTTCTCTGGGGGTTTGAAAAGGCGTTGGTGGTGGAAATTTGAATCTAGCCATGGCAATTTACATAGACAATGGTGATTCGGGTGTGGTAATTGCAATTTGATCCAGTTCCAAGCATAGACCCATCTAGTCCAGGTTGGGAGGACTGAATCGTTCTTCAAGGCTTGACCCTGAACAATAACAGATCAGAAATATAGCTGTGGTGGAGAATTTGGGGGTTCATGGTCCGATGGCAGTGGGTGTGGTAGTGCCAGCTCAGTTCGACCTGCAGCAACCCGCCTCTGCCCTATGGACTGGCAGCTTGGAATGGAACTTGCAAGCTCGTCTTCTTTCCCCTTTTTGCTTTTTCTCATTTCTTAGCCCGAATTTCGTTGTAGTGACAACAGAAGAATACGTAGAGAAAAAGAGCCAGGCCGAATCAGCGGAAAAACCGGCGGTGACATCATCGGGGCTGAACAAGCGATGACCTCATGGGGAATGATCCCTGTCTTACAACAACTTATAACTACCTCTAATTGCTGCCTACGCTGGTTTCTATCACCTTCAACTACCTGATCACTAGACAGTTTAAACACACTCCCAAAGCCAAACACAATTGAACACCGCCAGAAAGCATCACCTACCTCCGCATCATGGATGTACGATTGTCCTTCTCCCGGTCTCCAACCATACCACAGAGCTAACCAATTCGCGCGCCACAGGTTTTCTACGCCTACACCTATTCCACGGCCGGCTGGCTTGGACTCCAGAGCTTGGCTCTGATCGCTGTGCCGGAGATGATGACCACAATGTTGTTGACCGAAACCCGCGACCCTTCCGGTGAGTAACCGCCAGACAGATTGTCTCTCCAGCTGCCAATGGCTAACCCGCAACAGCGCTCGAAACATACTTCTCCCGCTGCTTGGGATTCAGTCTCCTCCTCATCGCCGTTCTTACGGTCATGCTTACCGGGTCCGTGCCCTTGACCACCTCCATCGCGCAACCCGTCACCACGGATGATTCCGACCCCAAGGCCCCCTATGCCGTGCCGACCATGATGGTTACGACCGTCTTCCACGGCGCGTCAGCGGCCTACGCATACATCTGGTGGGTGGCTACGGGCCAGATCGCCTACGCGGTCGGGATGATCGGATACGCCGCCATTGCCTTCGTCGGGGTGTGGTGCGCGCTGTTTGCGAGCAGCGGGGGCAAGATCAACCGCAAGACTGGCGTCGATAACCGAAGCAGTGGCTTCCCGTTCGCCAACCAGGAGGCCGACAAGAGGTTTGCGGGGAAGAAGTCTTTGTAAAGGGGGATTTTCTTCTCAGAATGTTCTAGGCGGGGTTATTGGCCATAGGGTGGATAGTTGCATGCATGCAAATGGCTGCAGATGAGAGAAGCCTGCGCATGTCAAGAGAAAGAGGGAGATAGTTCGCTGTTGAATTTGACATACCCTCTCTCCTTATCCCCTATTTACTTCCATATTACACTAAATGATTCAACTGGATGTCACGTAGTATTCGGGCGCTGAAGAGCATGCTGTGCGGTCCAATGGGTTGTCCTGTGCCTGACACAAACCTCCTGCCAGCCGGGATCACGGGACTCGGTGCAACCAAACACAACAACAACAACTTTGGTCAGACCGTGCCTGCCACACTCTCCCATTACACTATTCCTCCCTCTTCCACCTCCAATTGTTGCACCCGATGAAATTATCCGACTGGCTCAAGGGGCCTTCGTTCCGGTCACGACAGTCTCGATGGCTGCTTTGATGCAACCGTACCTATTCGAACTGCGCCCAAGGCCCGTTCAGAAAGCCTCCGTCACCAGACGTGTGCGAGGGTCTTGGCTGCGTCAAGACCCTGCAGAGAAGCAGACAGGAGAGGGCCATCAGCCTGTCACCCCGCAGAGTCGTGAACGATGTACACTGCGAGTGATCTCAGAACCATACCACAAGTATTGGCGCCTACAATTGGTAGAACATGTTCTTGATGGCCACCTTAGATCAATGGTGTTTTGACTCTGGTACAAGTGTCAAGTTGTGCTAAACTAGACGTCCAGATGCCTCGCCAACTGAACTACCGTCAGCTGTCTTGGCCGTCGTGAACCCCACCGCCACGGCTCGATGAGGAATCACCACCAATGAACCACTTGCCCGCTGCCCTCTTCTTCAGTCAAATTCGCATCAAGGCCATGATCAGGTTTCGACACATCAGAAGACTTCTCCAGGCACATGGGTATCCTCAGGGGCAGGTTGGTCGTACCAAGCCTTCGTAACTGACTTGTTGGGAGGGGCCTCGCGTTATCACAAGCACGTCGGACCGGCAAGCTGGCTTCTCGCCCTACAAGAGGGGTAGATCGTCTGGAATGCCCAGTCTGCTGTGGATGATCAACGCGCCTGAGCTCACTGTACGACCCTCGAACTCAGAAGGGCAGTGTGGGAATGGCCCTAGGCCGTGCCTCTACGGATTCTTGTTTACTGATAATCTCTCTATCGCTTAATCGGTTCCCAGACCTGCTTGACAGATAATAAGCGCATGCAGTGGTTTTTACCTCGTGAGAAATCAGCTCCCCAGGGTGGGTCGCACCGATTTTCAGACAAGTGGTTAAGCATTCCCCCGTTTTCCAGGGCTCCTTGCGCAACATCCTGGTAACGAGAGCTTCTTCTGCTTGTCTCTCTGTTTATAGATTCAAGAGTTCGTCTGGAAACGAATAAAGGATGCTGTCCTGAATACGACATGGCAGGCCATGACACGCCAGCAGTGGAACCGTCAAAGCCACAAGGCTTGCATGAATGAATGTGTGCCATTTAATCCGGTGGACGGTGCCCAGATTGGTTTGACTCGAGGCCTTTCTGGGGTCGGAGAAATAAGCTCTGCGCCGCTTGTCACCGCGATCCCTGGTCCTTTGCGTCGGCCCAAAATCATCCATGGTGTGCATGGCGTCTTGCCTAATAGGACACAACTAAGTCGTCTGAGAATGCAATGTTACCCCCAGAGTTTTAAATATACTCAGAGATCTTAGGCCCTGGTCTCGCTCTTTTGCAGGGCAGGCGGCTATGTAAATGATAGGCTAACAATTTTAGACGAAGCTTGCAATGCTGAAGGTATATAAGGCGAGTGCTCTAGCACGTTTGTACATTGCTTGAAATTTTCTTACGGGTGTATTTTCCCTTCTGATTTGCATGATCCACAATGGTCTCATTGAGAAGTTTCCTGCTGGTCTTCGGATCCCTTTTATCTGCCGTGCTTGCTGCGCCGACTCTCGAAAGTCGCCAGACTCTGCAGACGATTCCGGGGAAGTATATTGTCACCTTCAAACCGGGAACCGACGATGCTAAGATCGAAGAGCATACCGCTTGGGCGACCAACCTTCACAGGCGGCACCTTGAAGGCCGTAATGTTATCGAGGGAGACCTTCCAGCTGGCATTGAGAGATATTACAAAATCAACAGGTTTGCTGCATACGCTGGTTCCTTCGACGATGCTACCATTGCGGCCATTCGCCAACATGCAGATGTTTGTTCTTGTTGACCTTCCGAGCGCAACTGGCGGTAATCTGATATATTCATAGATTGCGAACGTCGAGGAAGACCAGGTCTGGGATCTCAACGGACTGATCACCGAGCGCAATGCGCCGTGGGGCCTAGGATGCATCTCGCATCGAGGACAGACTAGCACTGACTACGTCTATGATGATAGTGCCGGGATCGGCACCTATGCTTATATCGTAGATACAGGCATCTTGAGCTCTCATGACGAATTTAGTGGTCGCGTCCTCTTGGCATACAATGCTGCTGGAGGGCAGCATGTTGATGGTGTCGGACACGGGACCCATGTTGCCGGAATCATTGGTGGACGGACCTATGGTGTGGCGAAGAGAGCGACTCTGGTTTCGGTGAAGGTCTTTGTTGGGGAATCCAGCTCTACCTCGGTCATCCTTGATGGCTTCAACTGGGCTGTCAATGATATCGTGAGCAAGAATCGCACGAGCAAATCTGTGATCAATATGAGCTTGGGTATATTTTCTGTGTTGTTTGTGTGAGCCTATCGCTGACTACGAGTCTAGGTGGAAGCTATTCCAGCACGTTCAACGATGCGGTAGAGAATGCTTTCGATGAGGGAGTGCTCTCTGTTGTCGCTGCAGGCAACGAAAATGTATGTCCCTCACAGCCTCACGTTCGGAGTAATCACTGAAGGAAAATAGAGAGATGCCGCGCGAACGAGCCCCGCGTCTGCGCCGGATGCCGTTACCGTCGCCGCCATCAACCGACGTAACTCCCGCTCCAATTTCTCTAATTACGGCGCCTTTGTCGACATTTTTGCTCCCGGCGAGGATATTCTGTCCTCTTGGATAGGATCAGACACGACGACCCGGAGCATCTCGGGGACCTCAATGGCCACGCCCCACGTTGCTGGCTTGACGATGTACCTCATGGCACTTGAGAACTTGTCTACGCCAGCTGCGGTGACAGCCCGCTTGAAGGCATTGGCCACACGGAACGTAGTCACTAATACCGCTGGAAGCCCGAACCTCTTGGCATATAACGGAAACGGAAGAGCAGACAACCACCAGGGAGATGGGGATGGCGATGGAGATAACGACGGAGATTTGGCATGAGAAAGAGCTTGGGAACATGTAGTCAGGTATGGCCTAGACTAATGGTATCCTAGTGTGGATGGCGATAAGGAGCTAGTCTAAGATAATAAATGACCTGAGACATGCGACTGCAGGGACACCTCCAGAGCCACGGATGCAACGAATAGAACCAAGCACATGCAAAGCCTCTCCCGTCACGCTTCCGAAGTAGTACCATGCTGAAGGCCGTATACGTCGATCCGCACTGGAGTACAGGCGTATACCGCAGCGATTTGTCGGGTAAAGGCCGATCGATGATAGGTCGACGACTTCTGACTGTCTATTCGTGGCACTGGGTCGTGCATTTCAGGAGAATAGACTCCTCATCGTCCCGAGAATGGCACAGGTCAAGATGAGGGATAATTGGGGAGGCAGCAATAGGAATACACCTAGCGTTAGCCTCGCCACAGAAAGACCCGACTGAGAATCTATGGAAGGAATTCCAAGGCCCAGGTCACCCCCGGTTAAGTCCGTGCTTGCGTTCCACAGGGCTCGATGCCAGCTTGAATAAATACACACGGCCGTGGACCCCTTTCCCTGCCGAGACATGATGTCCGGTCAATGTTGAGCTGAGCAAGACTTCGTTTTCTCCTATGCCATGAAGCCCACCAGCCAAATCACCACGTCCTCGATCGAGTCCGAGAAAGATGTTCTGCAGTCCCTGCTCCCGCAGTATGGCCTTCGTATGGCTGCAGACGGCGTGCACATCCGGTGGGCGGTTGGCAACGGTCGACATCCACGGAATTGGAGGCTGCGGAGGAAGATCTGGGATATCGCGCTGATTCTGTTCCTGGAGTTCTTTACGTGAGTCTTATCGGTGAGGGGGGGAGGGGGTGCAGTACTGTTTGCTGTGGCTGACCATGGAGGGTATATTGTACTTTCAGCACGGCAGTGAGCACGGCGGGTGTAAGTCTGCAATTCGTGCAGTGATGTCTAAGAAGCTGACGAGTCTAGTCCACCGCCGCCAACAGTGCCGTGCGCGATTTCGATGTCCCGCAGGAGCTGTCGATCTTCCTCTTTGTGTCGGTGTGAGTGTCTGCCGTCCGTTGCCCCGGACCCTGAGGTGTGCTGACTTTGTAGGTATCTGATCGGCCAGGCGTGTGGGGGGATCATCTTCCCGCCGTACTCGGAGGCATTTGGTCGGAAGAAGCTGTATGTCGTCAGCTCCGCGTTGTACAGCCTGGCGTGTGTGGTGGTGGCCTCGGTGCCGTCGATGGCCGGGGTGATCGTGGGACGGTTCATGAGCGGGATTTTGTCCGCGATCCCCACGACGGTGGTGGGCGGCAGTATTGAGGATCTGTTCAACTCGCGGGAGCGCGTGTGGATGATCTGCATCTGGGTGCAAGCGGCCAATCTGGGGATGGTCGTCGGGCCGATTCTGAGTACTTTTGTCACGGCGGATATGAACTGGTGTGCCCTACCCTGTCCTCTTTATCGAGAAGAGAGGTCCCTCCAGAGATGGTGACTCTAACGAATCCAAAGGCGATGGTTATTCTACGTGGCCGCGATGGTGACCGGGGTGCTGGCGTTCTTGCTGCTGACCATCCGCGAGTCGCGGCCGTCGCTGCTGCTGGCGCGGGAGGTGGCGCTCTTCCGGCAGGTCACGCAGATCCCCGGCACGCCGGACGCGCTGAACCCGGACCAGGCGCCGGACTTGCACACCTTTGTGCG